AGGTCAGTCTCACTCATGGGTCTGTCTCCCACACAGGTCAGTCTCACTCATGGGTCTGTCTCCCACACAGGTCAGTCTCACTCATGGGTCTGTCTCCCACACAGTCAGTCTCACTCATGGGTCTGTCTCCCACACAGTCAGTCTCACTCATGGGTCTGTCTCCCACACAGTCAGTCTCACTCATGGGTCTGTCTCCCACACAGTCAGTCTCACTCATGGGTCTGTCTCCCACACAGTCAGTCTCACTCATGGGTCTGTCTCCCACACAGTCAGTCTCACTCATGGGTCTGTCTCCCACACAGGTCAGTCTCACTCATGGGTCTGTCTCCCACACAGGTCAGTCTCACTCATGGGTCTGTCTCCCACACAGGTCAGTCTCACTCATGGGTCTGTCTCCCACACAGGTCAGTCTCACTCATGGGTCTGTCTCCCACACAGTCAGTCTCACTCATGGGTCTGTCTTGTGCAGTTTCACAGTTTCAGAAAATGAAAATGTGACTAATTTTATTGCTTGTCAGTTGATTTCAGGGATTGTCTGTAGCCACAAGGTGTTTCATATTTTCTTATGGTGTCAGACATTGTCTGTGTTGGAGGACATTTAACTGTGTGCCATGGACAAAGGGGTCAATGTGCACCAGTAGATTGGAGGTGTTTTTTTCAGCTGAGCAGGCTCTGAATCAATAGGAGGACTGTAGGCTTAGATTTACTTGACCAGTTTGACCAGACAGAGGAGAGTTCGATTGGCACAGAGGATAACTCGGTGGGGGGTTTGATGGGGAGAGGGGGGTAACTGGGTGTGTGGGTTTGATGGGGAGAGGTGGGTAACTAGGTGTGGGGTTTGATGAGGAGAGGGGGGTAACTGGGTGTGGGTATTTGATGGGGAGAGGTGGGTAACTAGGTGTGGGGTTTGATGGGGAGAGGTGGGTAACTAGGTGTGGGGTTCGATTGGCAGAGAGGATAACTCGGTGGGGGGTTTGATGGGGAGAGGGTGTAACTGAGTGTGGGGTTTTATGGGGGAGAGGTGGGTAACTAGGTGTGGGGTTTGATGGGGAGAGGTGGGTAACTAGGTGTGGGGTTCGATTGGCAGAGAGGATAACTCGGTGGGGGGTTTGATGGGGAGAGGGGGGTAACTGAGTGTGGGGTTTGATGGGGAGAGGGGGTAACTGAGTGTGGGGTTTGATGGGGAGAGAGGGTAACTGAGTGTGGGGTTTGATGGGGAGAGGGGGTAAGTCGGTGGGGGGTTTGATGGGGAGAGGGGGGTAACTGAGTGTGGGGTTTGATGGGGAGAGGGGGTAACTCGGTGGGGGGTTTGATGGGGAGAGGGGGTAACTCGGTGGGGGGTTTGATGGGGAGAGGGGGTAACTGAGTGTGGGGTTTGATGGGGAGAGGGGGTAACTCGGTGGGGGGTTTGATGGGGAGAGGGGGGTAACTGAGTGTGGGGTTTGATGGGGAGAGGGGGTAACTCGGTGGGGGGTTTGATGGGGAGAGGGGGTAACTCGGTGGGGGGTTTGATGGGGAGAGGGGGTAACTCGGTGGGGGGTTTGATGGGGAGAGGGGGTAACTGAGTGTGGGGTTTGATGGGGAGAGGGGGTAACTAGGTGTGGGGTTTGATGGGGGAGAGGGGGGTAACTAGGTGTGGGTTTGATGGGGAGAGGGGGGTAACTGAGTGTGGGGTTTGATGGGGAGAGGGGGTAACTAGGTGTGGGGTTTGATGGGGAGAGGGGGTAACTAGGTGTGGGGTTTGATGGGGAGAGGGGGGTAACTAGGTGTGGGTTTGATGGGGAGAGGGGGGTAACTGAGTGTGGGGTTTGATGGGGAGAGGGGGTAACTGAGTGTGGGGTTTGATGGGGAGAGGGGGTAACTGAGTGTGGGGGTTTGATGGGGAGAGGGGGTAACTGAGTGTGGGGTTTGATGGGGAGAGGGGGTAACTCGGTGGGGGGTTTGATGGGGAGAGGGGGTAACTGAGTGTGGGGTTTGATGGGGAGAGGGGGTAACTAGGTGTGGGGTTTGATGGGGAGAGGGGGTAACTGAGTGTGGGGTTTGATGGGGAGAGGGGGTAACTGAGTGTGGGGTTTGATGGGGAGAGGGGGTAACTGAGTGTGGGGTTTGATGGGGAGAGGGGGTAACTGAGTGTGGGGTTTGATGGGGAGAGGGGGTAACTGAGTGTGGGGTTTGATGGGGAGAGGGGGTAACTGAGTGTGGGGTTTGATGGGGAGAGGGGGGTAACTGGGTGTGGGGTTTGATGGGGAGAGGGGGTAACTGAGTGTGGGGTTTGATGGGGAGAGGGGGGTAACTGAGTGTGGGGTTTGATGGGGAGAGGGGGGTAACTGGGTGTGGGGTTTGATGGGGAGAGGGGGGTAACTCGGTGTGGGGTTTGATGGGGAGAGGGGGGTAACTGAGTGTGGGGTTTGATGGGGAGAGGGGGGTAACTAGGTGTGGGGTTTGATGGGGAGAGGGGGTAACTAGGTGTGGGGTTTGATGGGGAGAGGGGGTAACTAGGTGTGGGGTTTGATGGGGAGAGGGGGTAACTGAGTGTGGGGTTTGATGGGGAGAGGGTGTAACTAGGTGTGGGGTTTGATGGGGAGAGGGGGTAACTAGGTGTGGGGTTTGATTGGGAGAGGGGGTAACTAGGTGTGGGGTTTGATGGGGAGAGGGGGTAACTAGGTGTGGGGTTTGATGGGGAGAGGGGGTAACTAGGTGTGGGGTTTGATGGGGAGAGGGGGTAACTGGGTGTGGGGTTTGATGGGGAGAGGGGGTAACTAGGTGTGGGGTTTGATGGGGAGAGGGGGGTAACTGGGTGTTGGGGTTTGATGGGGAGTGGGGGGTAACTATGTTTGGGGTTTGATGAGAGGTGGGTAACTAGGTGTGGGGTTTGATGAGGAGAGGTGGGTAACTAGGTGTGGGGTTTGATGGGGAGAGGTGGGTAACTAGGTGTGGGGTTTGATGGGGAGAGGTGGGTAACTAGGTGTGGGGTTTGATGAGGAGAGGGGGGTAACTAGGTGTGGGGTTTGATGAGGAGAGGTGGGTAACTGGGTGTGGGGTTTGATGGGGAGAGGGGGTAACTAGGTGTGGGGTTTGATGGGGAGAGGTGGGTAACTAGGTGTGGGGTTTGATGAGGAGAGGGGGGTAACTGGGTGTGGGGTTTGATGAGGAGAGGTGGGTAACTAGGTGTGGGGTTTGATGGGGAGAGGTGGGTAACTAGGTGTGGGGTTTGATGGAGAGAGGGGGGTAACTGGGTGTGGGGTTTGATGGGGAGAGGGGGTAACTAGGTGTGGGGTTTGATGGGGAGAGGTGGGTAACTCGGTGTGGGGTTTGATGGGGTGGGTGGGGGTAACTGGGTGTGGGGTTTGATGGGGAGAGGGGGGTAACTGAGTGTGGGGTTTGATGGGGAGAGGGGGTAACTAGGTGTGGGGTTTGATGGGGAGAGGGGGTAACTAGGTGTGGGGTTTGATGGGGAGAGGGGGTAACTGACTGTGGGGTTTGATGGGGAGAGGGGGTAACTGAGTGTGGGGTTTGATGGGGAGAGGGGGTAACTAGGTGTGGGGTTTGATGGGGAGAGGGGGTTACTAGGTGTGGGGTTTGATGGGGAGAGGGGGTAACTAGGTGTGGGGTTTGATGGGGAGAGGGGGTAACTAGGTGTGGGGTTTGATGGGGAGAGGGGGTAACTGGGTGTGGGGTTTGATGGGGAGAGGGGGTAACTAGGTGTGGGGTTTGATGGGGAGAGGGGGGTAACTGGGTGTTGGGGTTTGATGGGGAGTGGGGGGTAACTATGTTTGGGGTTTGATGAGAGGTGGGTAACTAGGTGTGGGGTTTGATGAGGAGAGGTGGGTAACTAGGTGTGGGGTTTGATGGGGAGAGGGGGTAACTAGGTGTGGGGTTTGATGGGGAGAGGTGGGTAACTAGGTGTGGGGTTTGATGAGGAGAGGTGGGTAACTAGGTGTGGGGTTTGATGAGGAGAGGGGGGTAACTAGGTGTGGGGTTTGATGAGGAGAGGGGGGTAACTGGGTGTGGGGTTTGATGGGGAGAGGGGGTAACTAGGTGTGGGGTTTGATGGGGAGAGGTGGGTAACTAGGTGTGGGGTTTGATGAGGAGAGGGGGGTAACTGGGTGTGGGGTTTGATGAGGAGAGGTGGGTAACTAGGTGTGGGGTTTGATGGGGAGAGGTGGGTAACTAGGTGTGGGGTTTGATGGAGAGAGGGGGGTAACTGGGTGTGGGGTTTGATGGGGAGAGGGGGTAACTAGGTGTGGGGTTTGATGGGGAGAGGTGGGTAACTAGGTGTGGGGTTTGATGAGGAGAGGTGGGTAACTAGGTGTGGGGTTTGATGAGGAGAGGGGGGTAACTAGGTGTGGGGTTTGATGAGGAGAGGGGGGTAACTGGGTGTGGGGTTTGATGAGGAGAGGTGGGTAACTGGGTGTGGGGTTTGATGGGGAGAGGGGGTAACTGGGTGTTGGGGTTTGATGGGGAGTGGGGGGTAACTATGTTTGGGGTTTGATGAGAGGGGCGTAACTAGGTGTGGGGTTTGATGAGAGAGGGGTAACTAGGTGTGGGGGTTTGATTGTGAGAGGGGGGTAACTAGGTGTGGAGGTTTGACGAGATAGGGGTAACTGGGTTTGGAGGTTTGATGATCTCCTCCAACTGTCCAGATTTACCAAATTCCAACACCCAGATGATCCCACAAGTCACCATTGACCTCTGAATGGTCAATATTCTCACCCCAACTCTACACCCAGATGATCCCACAAGTCACCATTGACCTCTGAATGGTCAATATTCTCACCCCAACTCTACACCCAGATGATCCCAACCATTGACCTCTGAATGGTCAATATTCTCACCCCAACTCTACACTAGATGATCGCACAAGTCACCACTGAGCTCCCCCAACGTGACCCCAAACTTACATTATCCTGTCCCCTGAGCTGGACGATGGTTTAGCCATTGGCCTGTAATTGCCTTAAAGGGACATTATCAAATTATGTGATTCTCCGTCAACCTTCCAGATGCCCAGAAGCTCCTGACAGCGCTGCCAAGCCTGGAGACACGACTTCCCAGCAAGGGTCCTGAGATCGCCTTCCTCCGCCGCTTCCTGCGCTCCAGGGACCTGCGTCTTCTACTGCACGTAAGCCAGCATTATGACTGTCGTGGGGGAAGACAGTGTGCGAGATGAGGATGTGGGAGAGCCCACCTGGGAATGATATGTAAAATACTGCCCAAAGCTGTTTGTGTAGTCATGACTGTTCTTTAAACATGAGGTATTTACCATACAGAACGATAATACAGTGGTATGGCTTGTTGGAGTTACTTGCTTACTTCATCCTATCAGATATTTGTGAGTTGTTGAATTATAACCTGCAGTAACCATGGTAACAGTTTTCTCTCAAGCTGTCTGGCATCTTGCAAAATGGTGTCTTAAAAAATTATTAAAAATGAGTAAAAACGAATTTGACTCTTTGTTCATGATGTAACAACAAAACTATTTGTGAATTGGAGCATTTCATGATTGTTCAGTGTTTGAGACTCATCTATAATTTACTCACAGTAAAATGAAGAAAATGTTCAATCATTGAAAAAGGTTTCAATAAAATGGTGACCAGTCTTGTTGACCATCACTGTCCCTGCGGTCAGACCCTAATTAGAACTCTGGTGGCATAGCCATTTGTGGCCAATCACTCACTGGCGCGGTTTGTTGCCACAGTGTGTGAGTTCCCTTCAGGTTATTGACATATAACACAATAATGTCTGTCACAGGTTTACCGATTACTTTCCACCAATCAACAAGTCCGTCCTGTGGCTGAGTTTGCCGTCTCCCAAGCTGCTGATGTGAGTAGGTTCAGTAGAGTTGTCTCCCTTCACAATATTGTCCAGACATTGATGTGGGCCCGATTGATGCACAGCTGGTGGTTGTTCTCTGTTGATTGATTATATTTTTGTTTGTAAAATAAGTGGTCATATGAAATGGTTAGCAAAAATAGATGAAAGAAATTATTGTTTACTCATCAAAAAACTGGTGGCCCACTAATTCACATGTTTTTGCTGATTTGTGACGTAGTATAACTAAATGATGTGGTGTTCTGTGTGCTGCTGTGATGTAGTATAACTAAATGATGTGGTGTTCTGTGTGCTGCCATGATGTGGTATAACTGAATGATGTGGTATAACTGAATGATATGGTATAACTGAATGATGTTCTGGTCCAGGTGTTCTGTATGCCGCCGTGATGTAGTATAACTAAATGATGTGGTGTTCTGTGTGCTGCCATGATGTGGTATAACTGAATGATGTGGTATAACTGAATGATATGGTATAACTGAATGATGTTCTGGTCCAGGTGTTCTGTATGCCGCCGTGATGTAGTATAACTAAATGATGTGGTGTTCTGTGTGCTGCCATGATGTGGTATAACTGAATGATGTGGTATAACTGAATGATGTGGTATAACTGAATTATATGGTATAACTGAATGATGTGGTGTTTGTTCTGGTCCAGGTGTTCTGTGTGATTTGCTATAACTGGTTTGTTCTGGTCCAGGTGTTCTGTGTGATTTGCTATAACTGGTTTGTTCTGGTCCAGGTGTTCTGTGTGATTTGCTATAACTGGTTTGTTCTGGTCCAGGTGTTCTGTGTGATTTGCTATAACTGGTTTGTTCTGGTCCAGGTGTTCTGCTCCATACGCTGCCAAGAAGAGGACCTGAGAGTACAAGAACTCCTCGACATCTTGTCTAAACCTCATTTACAGGTACAGAGCTTGTTACAAACTATATGGAGAGGCTTCTCAGGTCTGCAATGCAGGGGTCCGGAAAATTTAAAATCCCAATCGGACATTTGCATTTAGGCCACGCCCCCTTCAAATAAGTTGTTACGTACAGTGTTCCCTCGTTATTGAGCGCTTCGGTTACAGCGCGGTAAAGCATGGCTCCCAAAATTTACTAACATTTTTAGTGAACTCAAGTTTTCCAATGACACAATGTTTTCCCCCATCTCAGAAAACATTATCAGCTGATCACCACAAAATACAAGTCAACAAATCCGAATTGAAGAATGCAATTTAATCCTATCATTATAATATCTGGTAATAAAAACATTGCTCACTGTTTATCTGGAGTTTGCAATATATTTGATTAATATTATTCAATATTTCATTCAATAATTATAATAATGTTTACAATAATTTCGGCGAAATCATATGCGACGTGATCCGAAGATCACACAACCCACCGTTATTTACAGCAACCACAGTCAGATTACCGCTATTGACGCTTTGAAATGAACTCTAGTTGCAAGAGAATGGATACAATATCATAAATGCGGTACCATGACTCTCTAAAAGTCATATTTGAGGCAGTTTGACTATTAAATGTCAACATAACGTTTTCGCAATCGAAATACATGTAGTGCGAGAAGTCCCTACAGTGACTGGTCAAAATCGTTCCATACGTAAAAAAATATCCTGTATACCATCTGTACCAAGGTGCTACGCTTATGGTTTTTCATAATTTTAAGTATATATGGTGGAAGCTGCAACTAAAATAACACGATATTGGAATTTATTCTTCCTGATAAAATAATAATTTCAGATACAATTTCTTCCCACCATTGCATCAAAATTCTTTAAAGTGGTATCACTGGGTACGTTTTAACTGAATCACCGGTAGATTGGGAGGAAACGTGTGCACAGTTGATTGCTATTTCCGGCTTAGTTTACGAGAAAATACACACAGTAATCTTAATCTCTGCATATAAAACAATGCCTTTGAGAGCAGGAAATACATTTTATATGGTAAAAATCATCCTGTCTAGTGATGTTTCACATCAAATTTCATACTTTTATTGACCAAGTTTGTTATGCCTGTTTATTCACCTGAAGTCGTTGAAGGTATACGATAACGCTCATCAATTATTTGGACCCTGAAGGTAGCGTTGTTTGTTTTTTAAAATGTCCGGACAGAAAAGTTTAAATGTCTGGTAAGCAATATTTTAAACCGGACATTTGAGATTCCCAATCGGACATGTCCGGTGCATATGACCCTTTCCGGACCCCTGCTGCAATGTGAAATAAAAATGACAATTTGGGTGTCTTCTTTTCTACTGTTGTCCCAAAACATAAACTAGGGCTGAAGAAGGGAAGTAACCCTTTAACATTGGATATAAAGGTGTTCGTTATAATTTCAGGTTTATTTCAACTGACCATCATTTCATGAAATCAACCAAAGAAACATTTTTAAAACATATATATTTCATAGGTTGTGAATAAACTCCTTCCTGATCCAAGTGGTTAAACAGAGAAACTCTAGTTATCCATGCCTTCACCTTGGGACTGATGTTGTGTGGATTCTGTGGTAATGTCTGCTCTTCTCGTATCAGGCGCTGTTGTACACCCATGACAAGATCTCGAGGTCGGACTACTCGCCTCAGGTTGGACCCCTCGCAGAGGAGGTAGACGAAGATGAGGCTGCTGTCAAGGTCGTCCGACTCATCAAGAGCAATGAGCCACTGGTAGGAATATAACGAGCCTGATATGAGTTCAGTGAACGTGGAAATGCAGTGACAAGTGATGTTCAGACTAATTTTGAATTTATTATTCTCTGGTTTTCTTGACAAGTTTGCATCATAATTTAGTTTTAGTTTAAACTGATAATGAATGTCGATTGGTTGTTAAGTGACACAGCTGATAGTGTGTGTTGATTGGTTGTAGGGTGTGACAATACAGCTGATAGTGTGTGTTGATTGGTTGTAGGGTGTGACGATACAGCTGATAGTGTGTGTTGATTGGTTGTAGGGTGTGACGATACAGCTGAATGAGGATTCCGGCAACATCGAGGTGGCGCGGGTGTTACATGGAGGAGCAGCAGACAGAAGCGGTGGGTTTACCACGAGTTTTGCGACTCGATATCACTGAAATATTCAAACAGACTATTTTGTTTACTGTAAGTTTGGAAGAAGACATTTTGCCTGACCAATTTAATTTCACAGGGTAAGTCCAACTTGGTAAGGCTTGTGAGACAAGACATCTGTCACATGACATCATTTAGTCAAAATATTCATCATACTTTTTGACCACGCTGAATGCAAACTGATGTGTTCAACATATTTGTGACTTTATTAAACAGAACTGAGATATTTCATACACATAAAGGGAAACAACACTCCAACCCTCTGTCATCTGGCTGGCGCCGTATTAATTAGCCCGCATAATCTCCAGATGCCAATTACCATCAGCGACCCAACAAACTGGGCTTCAGACCAACAAGGGGTCATTTGAAGGACCTCATTGACAGCAAAGGGGAATCCCCTTGAATCCTGGACACGGCTTACGATAACCTTTCACCTTGCAAATTCACTCCGTGTGTAAATGTGAATGTACTATTATGTTTTTTTAGTATACAGCAAATACATGTACATAATTTTTAGCAAAAATGAAATTAGTCCGAGGCATGATACATACTGGTAGTATTTAATCAAGATCACCAGAACCAATCAGATGTCATCATTCTAACATGGATAATATCAGGTACCGTTCACCTGCCAACACATTACCCTCCTATAGAGTGTGACACTGGAGTGTCTGTGGACTTCTGTTGCAGGTTTGATCCACGTCGGGGACGAGGTCCATGAGGTGAATGGTGTGTGTGTCCGGGGCTGCGATCCCAATGAGGTCGTTGACATTCTGGTGAGTGGTGTACTCTGAACATGTCGTGTGTCAAATAGCATCTTGCAGAACTTAGCTGATTGTATTATGACCTATTATCTCAGCTCTGTATGTATTCATCGGTATCCTTCCATAATACAGAACTTAGCTGATTGTATTATGACTTATTATCTCGGCTCTGTATGGATTCATAATAACAATTAATATAGTTCCTAAATGAAAGCAGCATTCTTATAATGTTTATATGTTTAAAACAGAAGAAGGCTCAGCACAAAAAAGTCTTAATCTCATTGTTTATAAGGTGTCTAGAATTCTGGAATGATCCATTCATTAATCAGGTGTGACTGGCATGCATTATGTAAATCAATTTCTGTTCTGCATTTTGGGAGTGAACTGATTCATCTGCTGTATGACATGTCAAATGCCCTGGTAAAGCATTTAGAAATCATTGACTGAAGTATCACTGATGCGTATTCGACTTCATGTCCTGATTGGACCTCTCATGAATTGTAATGAAGTTAGTAGATCTGATACAGTCTGTAGTCTGAAACAGTGAAGATTGTGACGTGAGTTGTGATGAAGTTAGTAGATCTGATACAGTCTGTAGTCTGAAACAGTGAAGATTGTGACGTGAATTGTGATGAAGTTAGTAGATCTGATACAGTCTGTAGTCTGAAACAGTGAAGATTGTGACGTGAATTGTGATGAAGTTAGTAGATCTGATACAGTCTGTAGTCTGAAACAGTGAAGATTGTGACGTGAATTGTGATGAAGTTAGTAGATCTGATACAGTCTGTAGTCTGAAACAGTGAAGATTGTGACGTGAATTGTGATGAAGTTAGTAGATCTGATACAGTCTGTAGTCTGAAACAGTGAAGATTGTGACGTGAATTGTGATGAAGTTAGTAGATCTGATACAGTCTGTAGTCTGAAACAGTGAAGATTGTGACGTGAATTGTGATGAAGTTAGTAGATCTGATACAGTCTGTAGTCTGAAACAGTGAAGATTGTGATGTGAATTGTGATGAAGTTTCATCATTGATGTTTCAGTCGAGGATAACCGGCCCCGTGACGCTGAAGCTGGTGCCAAGCAACTCCAAGAACGGCCCAGACCAACGCCAGTGTCAGGTAACTGTCTCACATGCGAGGGTTGGGGGATAAGTCCTGAGCCCACATTGAAGAAGTGGAGGAATAATGAAACAAATATTTGTGAAGGTTACTTGATGTCATAGAGATAGAGCCACAAAATGTTGAGTCCGTTAAGCAAATTGTTTCGCTGTCACAAGTCAGTAGAAATGAAAAATGGACCTACGTGTAGAAAGTGCAGTGAAAAGGGCACCTTATCTCACATCCACTAGGATATGAATACAGCACACATGGGAAGGAGCCCTGTCCTATGCAACCATACTGAGTTGGCCTGCAGAGTTCAAACATGGAAGAGAGAGTCTTGACGATGACCCGCGTCCTGGAAGGCCTGTGTTTTCTGCAACACCAGAAATTACCAAGAGAATCCACGATATGGTGATGACCGGCCAGCCAATGACTGGCTTTTGCTAGTTCTGTAGGCATTCCCAGGAGAGAGTACAGTCTATTACCACAGAGACTGTCATGATAAAGAAGATATCAGCTCACGGGGTTCCAAAGTTTCTGACATCTCACCAAACCTGCACCAGGCATCACATGTCTGATTAAGAAAAGCAGGAAAAGTTCTGGCCTCTGGTTTATAGAATACTGAGGTGTCTGTCATCATGGTGGACTGTCGACCAAAAGGCCAGACAATAAACAGAGCATATCATGCTGCATTTTTGAGGCAATTACGGGATAAAGTTGAGACGACGAGATGTGGGAAGCTGAGAAAAAGAGAAATCTTCTGTCAGGATAATCTGCCTGGGCACAAATCACTCGTTGCCATGGATACATTCCACAAGTGTGGCCTTGAACTCCTTCAGCATCCACCTGATTCTCGACTCCCCAAACATGAAGAAATCTCTCGCTGGAACCCATTTCAACTTGAACGATGATGTTGTGCCAGCCAAGAGAAGAACTTCTACGAAACTGGGATAAAATCCCTCCAACATCGTTGGCAAAAGTGTATCAATATGAAATGGGATTATACTAAAAACTATATCACTTTAATGTCTTTGTGTCAAGTCTTTTTATGTGAATCTCGAACCTTATAAGTCACCATCATAGCATAATGTCAGATCTCACCTTATCATATGCCCCTCAATGATATGGGGTATGTTGCATGTGTGATAGAGCCAACATGAAGACCGTCGTATCACAGGGGGTGTAATAACCCAGACCCGTATTATGCCCCCTTCCAAGTTGATATGGCTAATCAATGCAATTTGAATGGGCGATCGATATCAGCCTGGGTGGTAAGAAATTGGAGTTGAGTCCTTTGGTGTCTCGTCTGCTCGGCTAGCTTTCCAGTGACAATGTCCTCAAAACAAGGTGAACATGTTTTTACGGACATACACAAAATTTTGAGATGTTGTATGGATGGATACATTTTCCAATTTGATGTTAAGGTATGTGATAAAAGGGTTGTTATAGGGCAGTTTTCATATCATACCCCATATCAATCCGAGATCTCCATATCAACCCGAGATCTCCATATCAACCCGAGATCCCCAGATCCCCATATCAACCGGAGATCCCCAGATCCCCATATCAACCCGAGATTCCCATATCAACCCGAGATCTCCATATCAACCCGAGATCCCCAGATCCCCATATCAACCGGAGATCCCCAGATCCCCATATCAACCCGAGATTCCCATATCAACCTGAGATCCCCATATCAACCTGAGATCTCCATATCAACCCGTGATCTCCATATCAACCTGAGATCCCCAGATCCCCATATCAACCCGAGATTCCCATATCAACCCGAGATCCCCATATCATCCTGAGAATCCCAAATCAGCCTGTGACACTGTGGTATATCTCACATTACTTCATATGACTCCATGTTACATATGGGTCGATGGGGTAGCCTTGTGGTTAAAACAATCGCTCGTCATGCCGACGACACGGGTTCGATATCTGACATGGGTACTATGTGTGAAGCCCATTTCTGGTGTCCCCGGCCATGATATTGCTGGAATATTGCTAAAAGCGGGGGAAAACCATACTCCCTCACACGCACACACACACACACACACACACACACACACACACACACACACACCTCCCCCCCTCCCATGTTACATCTCCTGGTGATGTCTCCTGGCCCTTGTTTCAGATGAGAGTGAAGGCACTGTTTGACTACACCCCCGAGACGGACACCACCAATCCCTGCCCCGAAGCTGGGCTCGAGTTTCGGAGAGGAGATGTCCTTCACATTGTCAATCAAGATGACCCCACCTGGTGGCAAGCCAGGAAAGAAGGGGAGACAATCACTAGTGCTGGCCTTATTCCTAGTAAACAGCTCCAAGAGAGGTAACGTGTTTCAGTTGGGCCGTGCATCATCTGACAAAGGAAATCTGTATCAGCTTCTTCCTGTTTAGGGCAAAATATTCAGTAATCAGCAAACTTTTGTATTAGGGGCAGTTGTATAGCCTAGTGGTTAAAGCGTTCACTCGTCACACTGAAGACCTGGGTTCGATTCCCCACATAAGTACAATGTGTGAAGCCCATTTCTGGTGTCCCCGCCATGATATTGCTGGAATATTGCTAAAAGCGGCGTAAAAACATACTCACTCACTTTTGTATTATTAGGATCTGGATCCAGAAAAAAGTTGTATATTTTTTTAATGCAAAGAAGTTTGAATATTGTCTTCTATAAAGCTAGTCATCTTGTCCTGCTGTTCCAGGAATGAGATGCAGCGAAGAGCGGATGCCAAGGGTTCCCCGGGACAAGTGCGCAATGGGACAAGTGAGTTGTGGGCAGGTGGAACACCCGAGACTGCACCGCGTGTTGGTCCATCCTCCTTTAGTTCTCTACCACAAACTGAGTCTGACTGGACACGCTCCGTCGATGTCTGTGAACCACACAGCCTAACTACATAGGGGAGGATATAAGTTACAGTTAAGAAAACAAAAACCTCTTGTCATGAGAGACCTTGGTTAGAAGAGGTTCCCAGCACTCCTTGGCTGGTCCCCTGTGACCTAGGTTAGAAGAGGTCCCTAGGACCCCATGGCTGTACCTGTGACCTAGGTTAGAATGATCTGATGCCTTGAGTCTGATCTGATGCCTTGAGTCTGATCTGATACCTTGAGTCTGATCCCAAGTAGCTGTGGGAGGCTGCTGACAGAGATGGAGGCGACGAGGACGCTACTTTCTGGTGAAGCGATGCTGGTGTCTGGCGCAGGGCATCATTAACAAATGGAGCTACAACACGCTGGCTAATTGATGAAAATGTGTTGATGAACTGGGACTTAGGAATGTGGAGAGGAGTTGGTTTCAGAAATGATGTCCAACTTACAAATTTTGCAATTACGTTTAAGTTTACCACCTGTGTTCTGCGGCCAATCAGAACATCCATGTTACCTGGCTTAACGTGCTGTGGACCTTGGTGCTCCTTGATTATTCTAGAAATGTTAAATACTGGTCAGTGTTGTTCCCGCTGGACAGTCTACTGGGCACCACAGGGGCACCACAGGGGCACCACAGGGGCACCACAGGGGCACTTCCCTCTCTCTAGCTTCTGTCCACATGCAATATTTACCTCAGTATGTGAAAGGGGGGCTTGCCTTTTCAGCCGTGTAGAGTTACACTAGGGCTCTGTCTTGCATGGTGGCTTCATCCAAGCAATGTCAATGGCTCGAAGATTCTGAAAATGAATGCCCCTTGCTGTGTGGATAAAAATCTTATTTACAGTAAACTACGTTTATAACAAACACAACAGATATAACAAACTGTTCTTTGGTCCTGGGCATTTGCCATATATTTTATCATATGAAGTTGATGAATATAATGAGTGAGTGAGATTGATTTTACGCTGCTTTTGGCAATATTCCAACAATATCACGGCGGGGGACACCAGAAATGGGCTTCACACATTGTACCCATGTCGGGAATCGAACCTGGATCTTTGGCGTGACGAGCGGACGCCTTAACCACTAGGCTACCCGACCGCCCCTGGATATAACGAACATGCTCATAACGAAATAACAGATATGGCCAACTCACGTTGTGGTCCCAGGTGTACTCTGTCAACGATAATGTTTAAGTGTAATAGAACTGTTAATCCCTGAGCTGAGCTCCTCACGTGGCACCAATCTGACTATCAAAATATCCGCAGCCAAGCACGGCTGTTCAAAGTGTCAATAAACAATTGAAGGCAGTTGATTTACTCTTTAAGTACTGACACTTTGTCCTCAAACTACACCCTCAGTTAACAATAGTAACACAGTGATTGAAGTGGATATATTCTGTACATGTACAGTGCACACTTTTGTTATTTATTGAGTAACATGATGTCACATGACTTGATAAACGATGTCTGACATCGAAATGCGTATAACAAACGATGGATATAACTAAAATTAGTGGTCCCTTTGAGTTCGTTATAACTGTAGTTTACTGTATTTTGTTTTTGTGATTTTGTTGGTTTAAAGATTCTTGAATGGTTGGAATGAAAATATATGTATATATGTGTATCTCTTGAAAATTGTAATCTGTGGGTACAATATAAATGGAACAAAAGAGGAGACTAAAAGTGAAGTGAAGTTAATGGGCAACATCCAGCATGTATCTTCAGGCTTGGTGAGATGAAAACAAGCTTTTTCAATTTTTTTTGTTATATTCCAATTTTGATCAGCAGCTTTGTAGACCAGGTAACGTCACTATGCCTTGGAGTGTCCGTATAGTCATGTCTGTTGAGTACTGGGCCATTGTGGAGCAGTGATTTGACCCACACGTTGTACCACACCTGGTTGTTAAGGCAAGCCCGTCTTTGTATGAATATCGTGATTATGCTTGTTTCTATTCTTCACCTGTTCACAGCTCACATACATTCTCTTTCTGTTTATTTGTGTCCGCCCCAGGACAACTGAGCCCATGTCGGTACAGTCCAAGAATTCCGCGCCAAAAGAAATTACGTAAAACAATGTACCACGCTGTACAGAATGGAGGTACCGGGCTCTGTCCTATTTGCTAACAGTCAATAAATTAAACGTTGTGGTTCAGATATTGCGTAATGCAATACATGTAACATATAAATGGTTGGCAGTTTCATAAAAAACACAACAACTATTATATGTAAATTGCACTTTAATTTTGTTTTTTCTATAAATTTGTGTATGTCAGTAAGACTGATTTGGTTGGCTTCAAGAACGTGATGGGGCAGTTTGAATGTTCGGGACCACAACCTTTATTCTGTGTTCTAGTCATGTGCCGCTTCCCTCGGCACCACGAGCTGTACTTGCCTGGCAGGGACTTGGGAAGCATCTTTCTTTGTAGATTATTGTAAATTTGTTTTATTAAGAAACTAATTTATTTAAATCAAATTCTGTGACATTTAATCAACACATGTCACCAATCAAATATTTCTCTATATCTCTGATATTTTGCTATACATGTGTGTTCTTACCTGGGTGTAGTTGACAATGTAACATGTAAAAGTGAGACTAGATTCCTGACTGCGGGTGAAAGAGATGTTGATGTTTCAGAGTATGACACGGAAGAAATCCCCACGTACGAGGAGGTGGAACAGTATCAGCCAAAGCCCAACAAACGCAGACCGATAGTGCTCATAGGTAGGCCATTAGTTCATAGGTAGGCCATTAGTTCACATGTAGGTCGTTAGTGCTCATAGGTGGGCCATTAGTTCACATGTAGGCCGTTAGTGTCCATAGGTGGGCCATTAGTTCACATGTATGCCGTTAGTGCTCATAGGTGGGCCATTAGTTCATATGTAGGCCATTAGTTCACATGTAGGCCATTAGCTCATAGGTAGACCATTGATTCCCATGTAGGCCATTAGTTCACATGTAGGCCATTAGCTCATAGGTAGGCCATTAGTTCATATGTAGGCCATTAGTTCATAGGTAGACCATTAGTTCACAGGTTGGCCATTAGTTCATATGTAGGCCATTAGTTCACCTGTAGGCCATTAGTTTACAGCTTGGTCATTAGTTCATATGTAGGCCATTAGTTCACATGTAGGCCGTTAGTGCTCATAGGTAGGCCGTTAGTGCTCATAGGTAGGCCATTAGTTCATATGTAGGCCATTAGTTCACATGTAGGCCATTAGCTCATAGGTAGACCATTGATTCCCATGTAGGCCATTAGTTCACATGTAGGCCATTAGCTCATAGGTAGGCCATTAGTTCATATGTAGGCCATTAGTTCACATGTAGGCCGTTAATTCACAGGTTGGACATTAGTTTATATGTAGGCCATTAGTTCACATGTAGGCCATTAGATCATAAGTAGGCTGTTAGCTCATAGGTAGGCCATTAGTTCACATGAAGGCCATTAGTTCACAGGTAGACCATTAGTTCACAGGTTGGCCATTAGTTCATATGTAGACCATTAGTTCACATGTAGGCCATTAGTTCACATGTAGGCCATTAGTTCACAGGTTGGCCATTAGTTCATAAGTAGGCCGTTAGCTCATAAGTAGGCCATTAGTTCCTATGTAGGCTATTAGTTCACAGGTAGGCCATTGGTTCATATGTAGGCCGTTAGTTCACAGGTTGGACATTAGTTTATATGTAGGCCATTAGTTCACATGTAGGCCATTAGTTCACAGGTCGGCCATTAGTTCATATGTAGGCTGTTAGCTCATAGGTAGGCCATTAGTTCCTATGCAGGCCATTAGTTCACAGGTAGGCCATTAATTCACAGGTCGGCCATTAGTTCATATGTAGGCTGTTAGCTCATAGGTAGGCCATTAGTTCCTATGTAGGCCATTAGTTTATATGTAGGCCGTTAGCTTATAGGTAGGCCATTAATTCATAGGAAGACCATTAGTTCACATGTAGGCCATTAGTTCTAAGTTCAATCGTTCAAATGTTGGCCATTAGTTCATAGGTAGGCCATGAGCTCATAGGTAGGCCATTAGTTCACATGTAGGCCATTAGTTCATAGGTAGACCATTAGTTCACAGGTTGGCCAATAGTTCACAGGTTGGCCATTAGTTCATATGTAGGCCATTAGTTCACATGTAGGCCATTAGTTCACGTGTAGGCCATTAGTTCACAGGTTGGCCATTAGTTCATATGTAGGCCGTTAGCTCATAGGTAGGCCATTAGTTCCTATGTAGGCGATTAGCGGTATTACATTGTGAGACTGCCTCAGTGGTCTGCCCAGAAAGTGTAAGGTTGTGGGTTTGATCCCTGGACTTGTCATATCAAAAGGCATTAAAGGGCTAAAAAGGGACTGGTTGCCTCAGAGTCAGTATACTGTGTCTAAGTTGGGTATTCTCAGGCAAGCGCACCTGCAAGCTAACACACTAACAAGCTAACACACTAACTCACTAAGACGAACACTGACACTAAGTCATGTAACGTTGTGATAATGTCTTCTCCTTGTGTGCATGCAGGTCCTGCTGGGGTAGGCTGCAATGAGCTGAAACGTCGACTGAAGGCCAGCAACCCTGTCCACTTCCTGGAGGCCGTGCCATGTACGTACAACTTGCTTCTCCGTCCTCACTCAACTAGGGTCGTGTACTTGCCATGTAAACTACAACAAACATATAGCTTCAGTCCTGTTGCTACGTATACAGTGAACCCCTGCTGATCAGGACCAAACAACACATGTTTACATTTATTCTGACCACAGGTGATCACGCTCAACTGTGTGATTTGATGCTCATGATATCAATCACTGGAATGTTTGGAATTTGCAGACAGCCATCACATGGCTGGACAATTGTTGAGTGCGATGATAAACAAGAAACAAATCAGCAACAACTTCATGAGACTTTGGATATGTTTCAGACACCTCAAGGCCGAAGAAGCCGTTTGAGCAAGATGGCAAGGAGTACCATTTTGTGACTCGGGAAGAGATGGAGTCGGGCATCATGGAGCAAAGGTCAGTTGCTGATGAGGCAGGTCACAGCTCAAAGGTCATGTAAGTAACTCAAGGTCATCTGAATGTGTGTTGTGAACTGTAGGAGGCTCACCGACATCACGGACACTGTAGTCTTGTAGTTACAGCTCACCAACACTTGTGGACACTCTAGACATACATTTGCACTACTGCTCAAAAGGATGTCACTGTGCGTTTGAATTGTGATCTGTAACTGATATGTAAGTTCAGTTCCTATGACTGCCTTGGAAGTGCGATGAGGGTAATCAAAACGTTTGTGGCCTCACATAGAAAATAATTCCGAATCAAAATTGACTTTAGTACACTTGGTCCCACGATGTCCCAGCTTTGTTATCCCTGCCTTATAGAAGTCCTAATCTTGGTCCCCCCCAAAGTCCTCTCCAGAGTCAACCACCACGTCCTTACTGGTGGAAAAGTCCTACTCGCAGGGGTTATTTGAGTTTACGGAAGAGACAAAGGTCCGAGGGACCGGGGTCAGGGGGTGCTGTGTCAAGAGCGTAAGGGTTAAGGGGAGGTAATTCAAAGTCACAACCTGCAGCTGCAGCCACTGCCACTTGTGATGTGTGTTCAGGTGCATTGTCCTGAAACAGCTGCACACGTGAAGGGCTCTTTCCTCAATGTGTCACGTCATAGCTTCTCTCAACTGATGTTTTGTTTGTTTGTTTGTTGTTTAACGCTGCACTTAGCAATATTCAAGCTATATGACGGCCGTCTGTAAATACTCAAGTCTGGACCAGACAATCCAGTGATTGATATCATGAGCATCGATCCTCGCAATTGAGATACAATGACATGCATCAACCAAGTCACAGAGTCTGACCACCAGATCCCGTTAGTCACCTCTTACGACAAGCATAGTCGCCTTTTAGGGCATTCTACCCCAGATCTTCACGGGTTCTCAACTGATGTAGATCCATGACATCATTTTTAGGCCCAGTGATGGTCTCACCTCACTGCGGATCTTTGGTAGGCCAAATGTTTCCACTGTTTGCTCTGGAGTCAGAACCCGGGATCCATGTGAGGGTTCAGGTTCCAGACCAGGCATCTTCAAGACCGCCATCTTGTGTTCAACTTCTGCTTGGCTTCAATTCTAAGTTGCATATGAATGGCAAAATCCCCAAGCATGCATTTCACATTGACATTTCATGTGACAAGGTGTCCATTTCATGGACATAGTTAATCATAGCTTGTCCTTCACTTTCCTCCAATTCACAGATTTTGTCATCCCTGTAAATTGTCTTGTGCAGTTATCCGTCTGTAGGTTGATGTGATGTCTTCCGAGAAATGATATTCTTTATTCACGTGGTGAAACCTGACATTACACTTTACAATGTCTGTGAAGCAGCAAACATTTTGTCTTACTTGCATTGTGAACAAGGCTGTGACGTGAACACACTGCATGAGGGTGTTTCCTGTACAGCTGTGTGACGTGAACACACTGCATGAGGGTGTTTCCTGTACAGCTGTGTGACGTGAACACACTGCATGAGGGTGTTTCCTGTACAGCTGTGTGACGTGAACACACTGCATGAGGGTGTTTCCTGTACAGCTGTGTGACGTGAACACACTGCATGAGGGTGTTTCCTGTACAGCTGTGTGACGTGAACACACTGCATGAGGGTGTTTCCTGTACAGCTGTGTGACGTGAACACACTGCATGAGGGTGTTTCCTGTACAGTTGTGTGACGTGAACACACTGCATGAGTGTGTTTCCTGTACAGTTGTGTGACGTGAACACACTGCATGAGGCTGTTTCCTGTACAGCTGTGTGACGTGACCACACTGCATGAGTGTGTTTCCTGTACAGCTGTGTGACGTGAACACACTGCATGAGTGTTTCCTGTACAGCTGTGTAATGTGAACACACTGTATGAGTGTGTTTCCTGTACAGTTGTGTGACGTGAACACACTGCATGAGGCTGTTTCCTGTACAGCTGTGTGACGTGACCACACTGCATGAGTGTGTTTCCTGTACAGCTGTGTGACGTGAACACACTGCATGAGTGTTTCCTGTACAGCTGTGTAATGTGAACACACTGAATGAGGGTGTTTCCTGTACAGTTGTGTGACGTGACCACACTGCATGAGGGTGTTTCCTGTACAGTTGTGTAACGTGAACACACTGCATGAGGGTGTTTCCTGTACAGCTGTGTGACGTGAACACACTGCATGAGGCTGTTTCCTGTACAGCTGTGTGACGTGACCACACTGCATGAGTGTGTTTCCTGTACAGCTGTGTGACGTGAACACACTGCATGAGTGTTTCCTGTACAGCTGTGTAATGTGACCACACTGCATGAGGGTGTTTCCTGTACAGCTGTGTAACGTGAACACACTGCATGAGTGTTTACTGTACAGCTGTGTAATGTGACCACACTGCATGAGTGTTTACTGTACAGCTGTGTAATGTGACCACACTGCATGAGTGTTTCCTGTACAGCTGTGTAACGTGAACACACTGCATGAGTGTTTACTGTACAGCTGTGTAACGTGACCACACTGCATGAGGGTGTTTCCTGTACAGCTGTGTAACGTGAACACACTGCATGAGTGTTTACTGTACAGCTGTGTAACGTGACCACACTGCATGAGTGTGTTTCCTGTACAGCTGTGTAATGTGAACACACTGCATGAGGGTGTTTCCTGTACAGTTGTGTGACGTGACCACACTGCATGAGGGTGTTTCCTGTACAGCTGTGTAACGTGACCACACTGCATGAGGGTGTTTCCTGTACAGCTGTGTGACGTGAACACACTGCATGAGGGTGTTTCCTGTACAGCTGTGTGACATGACCACACTGCATGAGTGAACGTTGTGAGGTCTGCACTTACATGAAGTTAGACGAGGCAGTGTTGATGTATGTTTAACAAAGATGTCTGTTCTGATGCCTTCTAGGACATGTCATTGACAAGCTACAGTTGTGTTGGACACTGAAACAAACATAAAATATTTAATTACGTATACTGATAATGCAATATTGTTGATCTAGCTGAGGTATGTGGTGATGTATGTCGCTATGTATAGTTATATTTATGTCATGATTTATGTCGCGAATTATGTCGCGATATATGTCGCAATTTAAGTTGCAATTTAAGTTGTGATTTATGTCAAGATTTATGTCGCGATTTACATAGTGATGTTTGTAGTGATTTATGTAGTGATGTATGTAGCAATTTAGTGATGTATGTAGTGATATATGTAGCAATTTAGTGATGTATGTAGTTATGTAGAAAGTAGTGATGTATGTAGCAATTTAGTGATGTATGTAGTAATGAGAAATATAGTGATGTATGTAGCAATTTAGTGATGTATGTTGTAATGAGAAATGTAGTGATGTATGTAGCAATTTAGTGATGTATGTAGCAATTTAGTGATGTATGTAGCAATTTAGTGATGTATGGAGTGATTATGTAGATGTATGTAGTGATGTATGTAGCAATGTAAGTGATGTAGTGTTGACCTGTGGCCTACCTATCCAGGTTTGCGGAGTTTGGGGAATACAAGGGCAACTTGTATGGGACGAGTGTGGAGTCCATCAAGACAATCATCGCCTTGGGCAAGGTGTGCCTAGTCACCCCCCATACTCAGGTGAGACTGAAGGTGTGGCCCACACACAGGTGAGACTGAAGGTGTGGCCTACACACAGGTGAGACTGAAGGTGTGTCCTACACACAGGTGAGACTGAAGGTGTGCCTATTCACCCCCCCATACTCAGGTGAGACTGAAGGTGTGGCCTACACACAGGTGAGTCTGAAGGTTTATCCACATACAGGTGAGACTGAAGGTGTGGCCCAAGACCCGTGAAGATACGGGGTAGAATAGGTCTTAAGCAACCCATGCTTGCCGTAAAGGTGACTATGCTTGTCGTAATAGGCGACTAACGAGATCGGGTGGTCAGGCTCCCTGCCTTGATTGATGAGTGTCATCGTGTCCCAATTGAGTGGATCAGTGCTCATGATGTCAATCACTGGATTGTCTGGTCCAGACTCAATTATTTACAGACCGCCGTCATATAGCTTAATATTGCTGAGTGCGGCGTTAAACAAACAATGAAGGTATGGCTTACACACAGGTGAGACTGATGGTGTGGCCTACACACAGGTGAGGCTGAACAAATGGCCTACACACAGGTGAGACTGATGGTGTGGCCTACACACAGGTGAGACTGATGGTGTGGCCTACACACAGGTGAGGCTGAACGTATGGCCTACACACAGGTGAGGCTGAACGTATGGCTTACACACAGGTGAGACTGATGGTGTGCCCTACACACAGGTGAGACTGATGGTGTGGCTTACACACAGGTGAGACTGATGGTATGGCTTACACACAGGTGAGACTGATGGTGTGGCCTACACACAGGTGAGACTGATGGTGTGGCCTACACACAGGTGAGACTGATGGTGTGGCCTACACACAGGTGAGGCTGAACGTATGGCCTACACACAGGTGAGACTAATGGTGTGGCCTACACACAGGTGAGACTGATGGTGTGGCCTACACACAGGTGAGACTAATGGTGTGGCCTACACACAGGTGAGGCTGAACGTATGGCCTACACACAGGTGAGACTGATGGTGTGGCCTACACACAGGTGAGACTGATGGTGTGGCCTACACACAGGTGAGACTCATGGTGTGGCCTACACACAGGTGAGACTAATGGTGTGGCCTACACACAGGTGAGGCTGAACGTATGGCCTACACACAGGTGAGACTGATGGTGTGGCCTACACACAGGTGAGACTCATGGTGTGGCCTACACACAGGTGAGACTGATTGTGTGGCCTACACACAGGTGAGACTCATGGTGTGGCCTACACACAGGTGAGACTCATGGTGTGGCCTACACACAGGTGAGGCTGAACGTATGGCCTACACACAGGTGAGACTGATGGTGTGGCCTACACACAGGTGAGACTGATGGTGTGGCCTACACACAGGTGAGACTGATGGTGTGGCCTACACACAGGTGAGACTGATGGTGTGGCCTACACACAGGTGAGACTGATGGTGTGGCCTACACACAGGTGAGACTGATGGTGTGGCCTACACACAGGTGAGACTCATGGTGTGGCCTACACACAGATGAGACTGATGGTGTGGCCTACACACAGGTGAGACTGAACGTATGGCCTACACACAGGTGAGGCTGAACGTATGGCTTACACACAGGTGAGACTGATGTTGTGGCCTACGCACAGGTGAGGCTGAACGTATGGCTTACACACAGGTGAGACTGATGGTGTGGCCTACACACAGGTGAGGCTGAAAGTGTGCTTCTTTACAACAGTACCTAACTGTTCATTGTCGTTTATGTGTTTGACCATGCACTCATTCAGTCATTCATATTTTCTGTTTTGCACACTTAACCAACAGGCACTGAAATTCCTGCGTCAAGCCGACATCAAGCCTTACATCATCTTCATCAAGCCTCCTTCCCTGGAGATGCTGCAGGCGACACGCGGAGCCATGAAGGCTCGTGTCACTAAAGATGGAGATGTAACGCAACCCTTCACAGTGAGATTAAGTGTTAGATCGTCTACATGTTGATATTTTTTCTATTTCACTCTTTACTTTTGAGCACAGTTGAGCCTCATTTATGAGACCCGTGTAAGATGGTCTCCACAATTTGATCTTTTCACACCCTTTACTTTGAAGCACAGTTGACTTTAATTTCCCACATTAAGTATTAGATTGTCTGCATTAATTGACATTTTCAATTACCACCATTACTTTTGAGCACAATCTTATCTATAGGATTAAGTGTAAGATCGTCTACAGGAGTTGATATTTGAAATAGTACTGATTATTCTTGAACACAGTGGAACCTTGCCTTTGAGATTAAGTGTAAGGTTGTCTACAGGAGCATTGTCATCCTTTGTCCTTCAGCACCACTGACATTCACCTCGGGGATCCAAATACCAGTTGATTGTCTTGGCATCCAGTTAAAGAACTTTTGTCATATCAGTGTACAAGAAACTAAGACTGGGATTTTCTCATGGAATGCATGACCATGAGATTAAGGCCATTTTGATTGATTTGTCACTCTTTGAAGAGTTGAAAACAGTTTTGCATACCAGATAAACATTTCATGTTATCCAGCATACTGCACTGTGGCATTGGGAAGACCAACAACGTCTCACCTAATTACAGATGACACTCAATATTTGGTAAAAGATGAAATTGCACAATGTGTTTTTTTGGAAACCTTCCTTCAATGTGATGTCCCATGCTATTTTTCGCCCTCAACGTGATGTCCCATGACATAGTTAGCACTCACTGTATGTCCCATTACATATTTGCATATTTTCAATGTGATGTCCTATGACATATTTAGCCCTCAACATGATGTCCCATGACATATTTAGCCCTCAACATGATGTCCCATGACATATTTAGCCCTCAACATGATGTCCCATGACATATTTAGCCCTCAACATGATGTCCCATGACATATTTAGCCCTCAACATGATGTCCCATGACATATTTAGCCAACATGATGTCCCATGACATATTTAGCCCTCAATGTGATGTCCCATGACATGTTTAGCCTTCAACATGATGTCCAAAGACATGTTTAGCCCTCACCATGATGTCCCATGAAATATTTAGCCCTCAACATGATGTCCCATGACATATTTAGCCCTCAACATGATGTCCCATGACATATTTAGCCAACATGATGTCCCATGAGATATTTAGCCCTCAACATGATGTCCCAAGACATTTTTAGCTCTCAACATGATGTCCCATGACATATTTAGCCCTCAACATGATGTCCCATGACATATTTAGCCAACATGATGTCCCATGAGATATTTAGCCCTCAACATGATGTCCCATGACATATTAGCCCTCAACATGATGTCCCATGACATATTTAGCCCTCAACACGATGTCCCATGACATATTTTACCCTCAATGTGATGTCCCATGACATATTTAGCCCTCAACATGATGTCCCATGACATATTTTACCCTCAATGTGATGCCCCATAACATATTTTACCCTCAATGTGATGTCCCATGACATATTTTACCCTCAGTTTGATGTCCCATGACATGTTTAGCTGTTAACGTGAAGCTATCAACATAATTAGCAATTCTGTTTAAATCAGCTTAATCTCTTGCAGCAAGATGAACTGCAAGCAATGGTGGAATCTTCTGACAAGATAGAAGAGCGATTTGGACATTTATTTGACTATGTGATAGTAAATGATAACATAAGCAATGCATCTGCTGATTTAATACGAACAGCGGCAAGGATCGAGTCTGAACCACACTGGGTACCCATTGGCTGGTCAGCTCAGTGACAGCGTTCTCCATGAGAGGAGCTCTGCTTTTGACTCAAGACGTCTGGCAAGTTGTTACCGAGTCAAGAACTGTGTCAATGATCAGCAGCAGCCGTGCTCTGTGTCAATGCTCTTCAGAAGGTGAGGATCCCTCTTGACTTGAGAACTGACAGACCTCTAGATCTAAGAACTGTGTCAATGCTCTTCAGAAGGTGAGGATCCCTCTTGACTTGAGAACTGACAGACCTCTAGATCTAAGAACTGTGTCAATGCTCTTCAGAAGGTTAGGATCCCTCTTGACTTGAGAACTCACAGACCTCTAGATCTAAGAACTGTGTCAATGCTCTTAAGAGAGAAGTGATTGTCTTGAATCAAGAACTGTGTTATTAAGAGAAAAGTGTTTGTCCCTTATCAAGAACTATGACAGTACTCCTCAAGAGAGAAGTGTTTGTTTTGAATCAAAAACTGTGTCACTGGTCTTCAAGAGAGGAGGGTTGGTCTTTAGTTAAGAACTTATTCCAAGAAACTTGAGGAAGAAAAAGATGTGTTTCTCTTCTCTTCTCAAGAAGTGAGTGTTTCAACATAGAAGACAGACACAACAGGTGGGACAGTGCCAGAGATTGGCATGTTCCAGACTTTAGCAGTGTCAGAGATTGGGATGTTCCAGGCTTTAGCAGTGTTAGAGATTGGGATGTTCCAGGCTTTAGCAGTGTTAGAGATTGGGATGTTCCAGACTTTAGCAGTGTTAGAGATTGGGATGTTCCAGGCTTTAGCAGTGTCAGAGATTGGGATGTTCCAGACTTTAGCAGTGTTAGAGATTGGGATGTTCCAGGCTTTAGCAGTGTTAGAGATTGGGATGTTCCAGACTTTAGCAGTGTTAGAGATTGGGATGTTCCAGGCTTTAGCAGTGTTAGAGATTGGGATGTTCCAGACTTTAGCAGTGTTAGAGATTGGGATGTTCCAGACTTTAAGCAGTGTTAGAGATTGGGATGTTCCAGGCTTTAGCAGTGTTAGAGATTGGGATGTTACAGACTTTAGCAGTGTCTGAGATGGAGGCGTTCCTGACTTTAGCAGTGTCTGAGATGGAGACGTTCCAGACTTCGCAACACATATAGGGCATTGACATGGTGCTACACGGATGGAAGGCCTTGTTCAGCAGTCAGATGAGGATGCTGTACAGAGCCAGGCAATGCCTTCCCCTCAGATGCTGACCTCCTGAATAGTGAAGACCAGTGTCCCCCCTCCTCATCAACCTCATGCAACATGAGCTTCACAGTACTCACTCTTCCATTTGGTCAAGGCAGAATAAAGTTCAAGAACTCACACATTTTTTTGAAATCATACTTGAACGTTTCTTCAATGGTTATCATACAGGGATGCGTTCAGATGCAATGGAACTGGCTCAAGAACTATCACATTGATCATACATTGACTGTTTCGGTGTTGACAGACGCAATGGAACTGGCTCAAGAACTATCACATTGATCATACATTGACTGTTTCGGTGTTGACAGATACAATGGAACTGGCTCAAGAACTATCACAGTGATCATACATTGACTGTTTCGGTGTGGACAGATGCAATGGAACTGGCTCAAGAACTATCACAGTGATGATACTTTGACTCTTTCAGTGTGGACAGATGCAATGGAACTGGCTCAAGAACTATCACAGTGATGATACTTTGACTGTTTCGGTGTGGACAGATGCAATGGAACTGGCTCAAGAACTATCACAGTGATGATACTTTGACTGTTTCGATGTTGACAGATGCAATGGAACTGGCTCAAGAACTATCACAGTGATGATACTTTGACTGTTTCGGTGTGGACAGATGCAATGGAACTGGCTCAAGAACTATCACAGTGATCATACATTGACTGTTTCGGTGTGGACAGATGCAATGGAACAGGCTCAAGAAGTATCACAGTGATCATACATTGACTGTTTCGGTGTTGACAGATGCAATGGAACAGGCTCAAGAAGTATCACAGTGATCATACATTGACTGTTTTGGTGTGGACAGATGCAATGGAACTGGCTCAAGAACTACTGCTGGATTATTGTACGGGGATCCTCGGGTGTTTTTGTAAACATTTGCGTTGCAATAATTCCATTTTGCTCCTGTACATTATTTTCACAAGAGACGAAAACATTTCATTTTTGTCATTGAAGGATATCACAGGTGTGGACTTTGGTGCGTTTGGTGAATACATTATCAAGTTGATCCTTCCTCTGCATGATCTCTGTAATTGAATGTGGGACATTGGGTAGGGTTGGGGTGTGGATTGGGAGGGGTTGGAGGTGTGTTGGTTCTTCAATACATTTAGGTTAAGATGTGCAACTGACGTACAGATCTCCAGTAGTGAATGAAGACAATCTTGATGTGAACACACCTACAGGTACCGTATACACAGTAATAATAGTTTTCTGGGGTGCTTAGAAAATTCACAAAGGCTGGTGCTTACTTAAACCATAAACAAGTTTGGCCTGTTTTCAGAGATTGAGCAGTAGATGAACCAACATAGCTCAAATGTCAATGGAAATTAAAACCTTTTGATAATAGATACAAGGCAAATACATACCCCTATGCATTGCTGTTTTCTGTTAAAAAAAAGAAGGTAATGTACAATGGAATATGGAATAGATTTTCGGTCTTATTAGGGGGAACTTTTAAAGATTACCTTACAGATAAGTCAGGGGGTGCTTATTGGAGCTGGGAGTTTTGATATGGCACATACAGTAATGTAATTTGGACATTTTCCTGAAACTGACAAATCTTACAAATCTGCCAAGCATCCAATCTGCTAATCCTTGTGTTGGTTTCTCGTAATAACGATTTCTCTCCACTTATATGACCATGACAAGTGTATCATAGGTGTTTATTGAAGGTCCATGGTTATGTATAAATTAGATTTCTATGCCACATTTTTATTTCTTTAAATGATCAGTTTGTTTCAGTGTCTCTCTCAAGAAGTAATCTTTCTAACACTAAACAGCACTTAGACCAATGTCTGAGGTGCTGCCATATGATGGTCTGAATTATTCAGATTTGTTATTTGTTCTGTTTCCTTGGAAACAGGTGAGGTGAAATGGGGTTTAACATCGCGTCCAAGATTATTGCACTTATATACCAACGTGCATGTATGTGTGTGTGTTTGTGTGTGTGGCTGCTTGTACTAGTCCAGACTGATGCCGATTTATAGTGCTAGCTCCCTGACATACCATGCCACAGTTTAACATACCTCACTCAGACACAGTATACTGACTCCGAGCCGACCAGTCCTTGTTTTAGCCCCTTAATGCTAATGATCGAACCCCGGACCTTCCGCTCTCCGGGCGGACGCTCTACCACTAGACCATGGAGGCGGTCCTTCCTAGGAAACTAGCTGTATGATTATATACATATACATATATATATATATATATATTATATATTATATACCTATTTTTAATAGGATGTAAGTTAACAAAGGACCTTCAAGGATGTTGTTTAGATTCTATTGACACAATATCCACCCCAGACAACTCAATGAACATTTGAGACATAGCATGAAGGGGCAGCTTCAATACTTCTTTGATTTATTCCTCTTCCGTTTGTGTTGACAAGGTTATTTCTGCAGAAATAGTATTTGTACAAGAGAAGTAACAATATCCTGTCCTTGACTTTAACTCACAGCTGTCTAATGTCACACACAAGACACTTCTAAATAACATGTAGTTGTAGAGAGAAGAGAGTCAAGGTCAAGGTCAGTGTCAGTCCCAGTCTTGCTGTTTTCTCTCGTGTCCAATATTATACAAATTATTACTCTTGACAAGGTTTCTGTGGAAACAGGACCCGAGGACTGACCCTCGAGGTGGTTTGACTGGACCGAGGTCACAGTTCTCAGTCCTGTCAGACCGCTGAAGGGGTTTGGTCCTCAGGTCCTGGTTTTCATGTATTGACCTCATCCAGAGTAATCATTGGTTTTGTTATACTGAAATTAGCTTTAAAGTTCATGAAGTCTTTAAAACGTCCTCTGTTATAGTTAGCTGCAAATCGTAAATGTTCTTACGAGACACCCTCTAGTTTTCTAGCAGACAAATTAATATTCATCACGTGACAGGTCAATATTGATCATGTGATGAGTCAATATTCAAGGTCAGTGTTAGTCACATGATTTCAGGATTTACATTGAAATTTATTTTGTCACGTGGTTCAGATAAACCAATGGAATTGCAGGATTCTTAATAGAGGTATAACAAAACAATTTATATATATACCAACAAGGACAGATCTATACCAACAAGACAGATCTATACCAACAAGGACAGATCTATACCAACAAGGACAGATCTATGCCAACAAGGACAGATCTAAACCAACAAGACAGATCTATACCAACAAGGACAGATCTATACCAACAAGGACAGATCTCTACCAACAAGACAGATCTATACCAACAAGACAGATCTATACCAACAAGACAGATCTATACCAACAAGACAGATCTATACCAACAAGGACAGATCTCTACCAACAAGACAGATCTATGCCAACAAGGACAGATCTATGCCAACAAGACAGATCTATACCAACAAGACAGATCTATACCAACAAGACAGATCTATACCAACAAGACAGATCTCTACCAACAAGACAGATCTATGCCAACAAGGACAGATCTATGCCAACAAGACAGATCTATACCAACAAGGACAGATCTCTACCAACAAGACAGATCTATACCAACAAGGACAGATCTATGCCAACAAGACAGATCTATGCCAACAAGACAGATCTATACCAACAAGGACAGATCTCTACCAACAAGACAGATCTATACCAACAAGACAGATCTATACCAACAAGGACAGATCTATACCAACAAGGACAGATCTATACCAACAAGGACAGATCTATACCAACAAGACAGATCTCTCCCAACAAGACAGATCTATACCAACAAGGACAGATCTATGCCAACAAGGACAGATCTATACCAACAAGGACAGATCTATACCAACAAGACAGGTCTATACCAACAAGACAGATCTATACCAACAAGACAGATCTATACCAACAAGGACAGATCTATACCAACAAGGACAGATCTATACCAACAAGACAGATCTATACCAACAAGACAGATCTATACCAACAAGGACAGATCTATGCCAACAAGGACAGATCTATACCAACAAGACAGATCTATACCAACAAGACAGATCTATACCAACAAGGACAGACCTCTACCAACAAGACAGATCTATACCAACAAGGACAGATCTATACCAACAAGACAGATCTATACCAACAAGGACAGATCTCTAGTAACAAGACATCCATACCAACAAGACAGATCTATACCAACAAGGACAGATCTCTACCAACAAGACAGATCTATGCCAACAAGACAGATCTCTACCAACAAGACAGATCTATACCAACAAGACAGATCTATACCAACAAGGACAGATCTATACCAACAAGGACAGATCTATACCAACAAGGACAGATCTATACCAACAAGGACAGATCTCTACCAACAAGACAGATCTATACCAACAAGGACAGATCTCTACCATCAAGACAGATCTATACCAACAAGACAGATCTCTACCAACAAGACAGATCTATACCAACAAGGACAGATCTATGCCAACAAGGACAGATCTATACCAACAAGGACAGATCTATACCTACAAGACAGATCTATACCAACAAGACAGATCTATACCAACAAGGACAGATCTATGCCAACAAGGACAGATCTATACCAACAAGGACAGATCTATACCAACAAGACAGATCTATACCAACAAGACAGATCTATACCAACAAGACAGATCTATACCAACAAGACAGATCTATACCAACAAGACAGATCTATGCCAACAAGGACAGATCTATGCCAACAAGGACAGGTCTATACCAACAAGACAGATCTATACCAACAAGACAGGTCTATACCAACAAGGACAGATCTCTACCAACAAGACAGATCTATACCAACAAGGACAGATCTATACCAACAAGACAGATCTATACCAACAAGACAGATCTCTACCAACAAGACAGATCTATACCAACAAGACAGATCTCTACCAACAAGGACAGATCTCTACCAACAAGACAGATCTATACCAACAAGACAGATCTCTACCAACAAGGACAGATCTATACCAACAAGGACAGATCTATGCCAACAAGGACAGATCTATACCAACAAGGACAGATCTATACCAACAAGACAGATCTATGCCAACAAGACAGATCTATACCAACAAGGACAGATCTCTAGTAACAAGACAGATCTATACCAACAAGGTGTTTGGTGCTATGCAGGAGCTTTAACCTCATTTTGCTGCTTCATTAAACTAAGGAATAGAAATGTGGCTAGTTTAATCTTGACTACTTGGTACCGTGCTATTTTGTATGTATGCCATGTATTGATGGAGTATTTCCTACATTGTACATGTATTGATGGAGTATTTCCTACATTGTACATGTATTGATGGAGTATTTCCTACATTGTACATGTATTGATGGAGTATTTCCTACATTGTACATGTATTGATGGAGTATTTCCTACACTGTACATGTATTGATGGAGTATTTCCTACATTGTACATGTATTTCATGTATTGCTCACCTTTTCTCAATCATGTCGATAATAATCATTTCAGTCCTGGAGTAAAGAATTGTTGATATGTCAGATCTTCTTGTGTCTGTGGTGCAAGGGAGTTGGGTTCAACAGTATTTCTGTTGTATCACAGCTCCGTGGGGACCCGGGGAAGAATGTGTCCCCCACCATCCCATTGCTAATTGTAGGATGTGACTAAGTTTGGAACATGTTGGGCTTCTGGGTTAGAACTAGTCCCTGTGCAGTGACCAATGGTTGTCGTAGGAGGGGCCTTGATGGATGAGGAGGTCAGACTCTCTGAAGGTGTGTCCAGGCTTGACAGTGCTGCATTGTCTGGTCCAGACCTGATTATTTACAGACTGCGGTCATTTAGCTAGAATATTTCAGAATGCAGCGTTACACAACAAATAAAACAACACGTGTGTCAGCATGTTCTGTGAGAAACCCCAAGTAATGCACATCTTAAGCATTTGGTGAGGGGCGGTTGGGTGGTCTAGTGGTCACTCACTCTCTACGTTAGATGAAGTCAATGAGCAAAGGTATTACAGACTATGATATAATTGTGGCATGACTAGGCCACCATTCCTGAGTCCCTATACATAGTGAGAATTGTTTTATGCTGTTTTTAGCAATATTCCAGCAATATCACGGCAGGGGACACCAGAAATGTGCTTCACACATTGTACCCATGTGGGGAATTGAACCTGGGTCTCCGGCATGACGAGCGAACACCTTAACCACTGGGCTACCCAACTGCCCCCTGTACATACAGAGTGAGTGATGTTTTATGCCATTGGAGGAAAATATTGTGTGAATGAGTTGGGATGGATTTACAGTATTTCAGTTACATGTGTCAGCTTAGTAGTGGAGGAATAATGGCACACAGAGGGGTTCCATCTGATCCGATTCAGTGTAGCTTCTAGATTTTTCAAAATGTGAGCCCAATGACATTCTTTATTTGATCTGGGCAAAGCTCTAAGTGAGTGAGTGAGTGAGTTGGGTTTAACGCTGCTTTTAACAGTATTCCAGTTATATTGCAGCATGTCAGCTTTGCTGTGTAGCCATGGTCAGCACTAGGACAACTTTGCTGTGTAGCCATGGTCAGCACTAGGACAGCTTTGCTGTGTAGCCATGGTCAGCACTAGGACAGCTTTGCTGTGTAGCCATGGTCAGCATCTATGAAGGGTGGAAACTTGGATTCCATAACACAAACAAGGGGACACAACTCTCACAGTCAAGGAGATAAACATACTTGGTTTTCAATGTAAATCTAGGCCACCTCGTAGATTTAACCATGAAAATGAATTTGAAATGTAAAATTTCTGTTTCAAGCAGAGGTGGTTATTGTGATTTGATCCCTCTGACTGACCGATCAGAGTTCATGGTAACACCTTTAAAAAAACAAATTACCCAGCAGTTTGGGGAGAGGGGGTTGGAGAGATTAATTTGCGCAAATCCCACAATTCTGTGTCCTACAAGCAACAGTCATTTTGTTCGGAAGACAATGACCTCCCATCTCCCTCCTGCCACGCCTGCCACAAGTTCTTTAGCCTGCTGCCCAAGGAGTGTTCCATGGTTGGAAATTCGGGCAATCTACACAGCTGGTTGTCAGGAGTGGGATCTAACTGTGTTGCATGTAACACTGTTTCTTGAAACCCAAACTGAGATGGGTTATAGCTGTTTACTTGGTGAAACTTATGTGCACGGGTATGGTGCTGACACACAAACATCATAACTAGGACAACTTTGCTGTGTAGCCATGGTCGGCACTAGGACAGCTTTGCTGTGTAGCCATGGTCGGCACTAGGACAGCTTTGCTGTGTAGCCATGGTCAGCACTAGGACAGCTTTGCTGTGTAGCCATGGTCAGCACTAGGACAGCTTTGCTGTGTAGCCATGGTCAGCACTAGGACAACTTTGCTGTGTAGCCATGGTCGGCACTAGGACAGCTTTGCTGTGTAGCCATGGTCAGCACTAGGACAGCTTTGCTGTGTAGCCATGGTCAGCACTAGGACAGCTTTGCTGTGTAGCCATGGTCGGCACTAGGACAGCTTTGCTGTGTAGCCATGGTCAGCACTAGGACAGCTTTGCTGTGTAGCCATGGTCAGCACTAGGACAGCTTTGCTGTGTAGCCATGGTCGGCACTAGGACAGCTTTGCTGTGTAGCCATGGTCGGCACTAGGACAGCTTTGCTGTGTAGCCATGGTCAGCACTAGGACAGCTTTGCTGTGTAGCCATGGTCAGCACTAGGACAGCTTTGCTGTGTAGCCATGGTCAGCACTAGGACAACTTTGCTGTGTAGCCATGGTCAGCATCTATGAAGGGTGGAAACTTGGATTCCATAACACAAACAAGGGGACACAACTCTCACAGTCAAGGAGATAAACATACTTGGTTTTCAATGTAAATCCAGGCCACCTTGTAGATTTAACCATGAAAATGAATTTGAAATGTAAAATTTCTGTTTCAAGCAGAGGTGGTTATTGTGATTTGATCCCTCTGACTGACCGATCAGAGTTCATGGTAACACCTTCAAAAAAACAAATTACCCAGCATAAGTTTAAAAAATTTATTCAGATACTAAAATATACAAGACAGAATATATGGCCAATCACAGTAGAGAATCAAACAAGCCTTACATCAATCATAAAAGCCGAATAATTTCTATTCATCATAGTTGATCCAATATGGATAGCAAGGCAAAACTTCAAAGCACAACATCAAAAAATGAAAACTGACACTTTTTTCTGGTCACTGAAATTATGTTATAAAACTTATCCATCAAAACTAACAAGTCCATTCAAAATTATATTACAAACATTTTTCAAAGTTTAATTTCAACATCAATTTGACATATCTGTAACTTCAACATATTCATTTCATAGAACTGTTCAAATGTTAAAGGGAATTCTATCCAAAATGGAGGATAGGAGTCTCATACCCTCAGCATTCGTCAATTTAGAGCAAAATACAAAAATGGATGCTTAAAACTCTTCATATAGAAACATGAACACAGGCAAAATGTTTCTTCAATGAACGAAATAGAAAAATACATCACATCACATAGGTTTGGACGAGGAAACACACTGGTTATTTGGACTAAGAGCTGATGATGTTGGAACGGAGAAAGCAGTCTGGATGACCCACGGTGCAGGAGGGCTTGTTCGCAGGTTACGTGGTGTGCAATCCTCTCAAACATCTTAACAGACCAATATCGGTTGTGTCATTCAGAGAAACACTCCAAGCTGCCGGTGTCTTTTACTTTTAGTAATTTCACCTATATAAAATTACTGGAAGATGATATCTAATTATTGTTTTGCAATTATATTAAAATTTTAACTGACATGTATGGTTTTCTGAGAATATATTTGTACATCAAGTTAGAAATAAAAAAGAATGTGATAACAATTATAAATATGTTAGACTAACCAATCAACATTTTGCATTGGTTGAAACTCCAAACAGTGTACTTGCACAGTTGGCTGCCATAAACTGACTATAGTTTGATGTTGCGGAGTACAGATGTCGACACATCTTGACGACACTGATTGACGTTAATCTCCTGTTGATGGAGTACATTCACAAACATAACAAACCTCAGCCACCCTTGTTTAACTCCTTACGCTGACTAGCACATCACTGCATAGAGGACTTAGAGTTACCTCCCTTGGACCATGTACCTGGAGGGTTCTTTAGAATGTGCTACATGAAGGAATATCAAAATACTGGGGCAAATCCACTCCCAGTGAAGATCTGGGTTAGAACTGGACTTCAGCAACCAATGCTTGTCATAAGAGTTGCTAACCGGATCGCGTGGTCAGGTTCGCTGACTTAGTTGATGCATGTCATTGTATCCCAATCGCCTAGATCGATGCTCATGTCAATCACTGGATTGTTTGGTCCAGACTCGATATTTACAGACCGCTGTCATAAAGCTGGAATATTGCTGAGTGTGGCGTCAAACAACAAAAACAAACACTCCAAGTCACATATAGATACACGTAACAGTTTTAAGTAGGTCAGACTGTTCAGTACACCCTTCTTCCGGGTGACAAAAAATGTCTCAAATAGACGGAAATAGTTTTTTATGTAATGTTTTTTATGTCTGTAAGAAACATCAATTGTAAAACAGTCTTGTGTACATTGGACGTAGTTGATGAACTTTATCATCCAGGTAGTATGAAATAAAAAATATTAAGATTGAAATTGACATAAGTTTTTACATTTAAAGAAAGTCACGACATGCAATATAGCAATGTAACATTTTACAAAATTGCTGATGTATAATGAAAATATGTGAAGAAATAAACATTATATATACAATCAGCATAAATAGGCTGTAAAAAAGATGAACAACTAATATCAAACTGATGTAAATACGTAAGACAAAACGTCATGGTCCTGGTGACAAAACTGCACCGAACACCTGAATCTAAACGATCTGTCCTAACAATAGCATCACAATATACGGGGACACCCCTTGGGAAACTTAACTTCAATATTTTCAGTTTAAAAACCAATAGGGATACAATGAATTGATTGATACTTCCTGCTGCTGACTGCAGAGCATCAGCCGACTGCAGTCTAGCCAATTACACGGGTAACAAAAACCTGCATTTATCGAGCATCAGCCGACTGCAGTCTAGCCAATTACACAGGTAACAAAAACCTGCATTTATCGAGCATCAGCCAACTGCAGTCTAGCCAATTACACGGGTAACAAAAACCTGCATTTATCGAGCATCAGCCGACTGCAGTCTAGCCAATTACACGGGTAACAAAAACCTGCATTTATCGAGCATCAGCCAACTGCAGTCTAGCCAATTACACGGGTAACAAAAACCTGCATTTATCGAGCATCAGCCAACTGCAGTCTAGCCAATTACACGGGTAACAAAAACCTGCATTTATCGAGCATCAGCCAACTGCAGTCTAGCCAATTACACGGGTAACAAAAACCTGCATTTATCGAGCATCAGCCAACTGCAGTCTAGCCAATTACACGGGTAACAAAAACCTGCATTTATCGAGCATCAGCCAACTGCAGTCTAGCCAATTACACGGGTAACAAAAACCTGCATTTATCGAGCATCAGCCAACTGCAGTCTAGCCAATTACACGGGTAACAAAAACCTGCATTTATCGTGGACAATAAAGCTGTCGGAGGTACTGTGTATAAAAACAAGACTAAAACATACCGGGGATGCATTCAAAGAAACGAGTTATGGCTTCTGTTACAAACTCCTTCAAGATATCTATTTAACAATATTCTCAGGCAGCAATCAAACCCTTCACTCAACATGATCTCAAATACTATAAGCACACTAGACCAAAAAGCCCCTCCACAATATTGAGAGACACCAGGTTTCAGTACGGCAACATAAAGATTTCCTCCCCCATGTTGTTCCTGGACATGAAGCATTCAGAAGTCCCTGTTACACTGAGGGAAGTTGGCAGTCATCATGTACAGCCATAGGGAAACCTGGGCACCTTGACACCATGTCACCAAGTTCATGTACACATTCATTGCAGACTATTCTGCTTAAAGGCAACATTCTGAAACCATCTACAATAAGCTTATAGAATTTCTACATTAAGCTCCTTCCAACAATTTGCATAACGGTTACTACATGTAGGAACAAGGCAAAGTTAGAGCTTAAACGTTGATGACTATACTTCACATTTCAACCATCACTAAATATTCTTGTAAAGGGGGTCTCCCAGTTGACTCAAAACTGAAATTTGGGGGGGGATTAGGGCTGGTGGATTATAGTCTGTTCCTGTCTGGTGAATGCTTGTTAGCTTGAAAGCTTAAAAGCTGAAGTTACCATTTCAAAGTTGAATTTTGAAAGTTCGAAAGTCTGAAAGTTTTGATTACCAATCATGATGTGTTGTTAGTGCCAATATCGTGAGTGAGAACCATCTGTATCTGTTAGGTCCAGGAGATGGAACAGACTCTACATTAATCCCCCATTGGTCAGCCAATTAACACCTGCGTCACAAGTGACCTAATTTGAGCTCAAATTGGGGATTTTGAGCCAACTGGAAACGAACCTTGTAAAGAATCCACCAAACAGACTATGACCTACCTCTCTAATTACCCTGTCTGCCTGCCCAACAAACAAAAACAATTCTTTTAATTTTTTTAACAATTTCCCACACGTGAGTGAGCAAGTGCATGAGTGAGTGTGTGGGGGCACGAAGTTACGACATCCGGACATTAGTAGCAAGTGTTAAGAAGTGTTGACAATGCATGGCACTTCTAGTTAACAAACAGGTACAAAATCTTGTCTGTAACCAAAAATATACACTGAAAATCAGATATTTGTTTTTATGGTCATTACAAAATTGATTGTTTTCTGTTGAGCAATGGCACTTCTGATTGCTTATTTTTCAAAAGGTCTGTCAAAAATAACCTTACGGAACAATCATGAATCATGATCAAACATGAACACAGCTCATTCTGGATCAGCTGACCTATTTCTTCTATCATGTCAAGACGTGGTTCACTTCTTGAACAAATTAAGATTTTGTCAAAGCTGTTGAAAAAAATATTTCCCTTTTTGATAACCAAATATTTTCCAACAGCCATCAAAATTACAGATCAATACAGGTGTTCTGGATCAAAGGCTTTAGATTTATTACACCAGGATTAGGAATCTTTTATTTCTTTCATGGTTTTGTAAAACATCCAGAAGAAAGATTTCAGTTTTGAAAAGAGGTCAATGAATTACACTTGAGGTAGGATGTGACTGGAACACAGCATTGTTTCCGTGGAGTCAGTAGAGTGCTTAGTTCAGAGGGTAGGGGAGGCTGTAGAATTTGCATCCAAAAGTGAACCACCGAGGACGATGACCAAGAAGGCCTGAAATAAGGTAATATACAACAAGTAAACAAAACAACCGATTAACGGTCACCAGTGAATTCCTTCTGTAAGTTCTGGGGCTTTGAGAGGTACTACTGGTAGTAACAGTGATTCATGAGGGCCAAATTCTCGGCTGCGTGTGATATTTATTACCACCCTCCCTGAATGACTCTCAAGAAAAGCCAGTCATACAGACCTACACAATATCATAAATATTATCAGAATATATTATCGTTCCGATCCTTCCCCCTGATTGACACTCGGTTCCCCTCGGAGACCAGCACCCACTTGCACAAAGCGATCTTAGCGCTAAGATGATCGTAACTCCCATACTTTAACATAGGCTTATGATAGTCTTAGCACTAAGATCGCTTTGTGCAAGTGGGCCCAGCACCTGTGACCGGCAGTAATGAGGTGATGACAATAAACACATCAGCATCAGTATTATAACAGTAAACCTGAAGGACCTATGTAACTGACCAGACTCAAGTCAATTAATCACCAAACTTCAACATATACATAAAGGCCAGCTCCTCCCAACATCTCCTGTAGCTGTGTGGGTCTGCCTCATCAGTAGCCGGAGGGCTGGGGTGGGGGGTAGGCTCCTGGGACGTTAGGTGGGGGGTACCCTCCTGGGGCGTTAGGTGGGGGGTACCCTCCTGGGCCTGTGGGTGGGGGGTAAACTCCCGGTTGAGGCTGAGGTGGGTATCCAGTAGAAACAGCTGAAACAGCAACAGTGACAAAACTATGTTATTTTACACTGCAGAATTCGTTGGGTACGGATAAAGGGGACACAACTCTTCACAGTCAACTGGGTATGCCTTTCCCCTGACAAATGTGTTGGTGAGGGGTGGTGGGGGGTGGTAGGGGTTAGTAACCCTTGCAAGTTTTCCATCTGCCAAAATCATCTTACTTGATTTCTCAATGTTTTATACAGTTACTGAACTAAACCAATCCTATTTTTATTCCGATGTTGCTAGAAGTTGTCATTAAATACATACAGTCTTTCCACAAAGTAGGGTTTTAACATTGCCAGCAACAGTCCATGCTGTGAAGTGGGTAATATATGATGACAGACTTGATCTATTAAATGGCTACAAATGATTGTCAACACCTCGTAGATAAACTACATTCGATCAGCGATCTGAAAAAACAGGGCACAACACAAGAATGTGTGACAAAGAGGCAACTAGACTCGGAAATTCAACATTTTCAGAATTTGGGGGGGGGGGCGGTAGTTACGTATGTCTCAAAACTAAAGGAATGAAGTTTTTTATCCGACAAGGAACTTTTGAACTGGTTCCTTACCCCTTATAAATGTTCATAATATCAATCACTGGTTTGTTTATAGGTTGCCATAACACAGCAGGAGTATAGCAGAGTTTGGTGTTAAAAAACAGACATTACCTTGGGTCACATCAAAGACACGGTCCAAGTATCATAATTGATGCACATATAAAATTTGAAGCCAAGACAATCGGGTCCTGGTGTAACAAAGGGACACAAACTGCTGCATTTTACACCACAATGTCACCCGTGCATGTTTATTTCGTCAAATGTTCCCCTTGGATACTGGTTTCCATGGCTACCAGTCCTACATACCTTCATACCCGGGTGGGGCTCCTCCGTAACCTGCGGGGGGTGGATACATGCCCCCCTGGGGTGGAGGGTAGGGCATGCCTCCCTGGCTCACTTCCCCGGGGGGTAGGTTAGGCTTTCCTTCTGAAAAAACACATTTCATCACTGTAGATAACTAAATATGTCAAATGACAAAAGATTTATTTTTTCAAATCAACATAGTAATAAATTATAATGTTTGTGAAGAAACTTTAAACATTTATTCTTTTTCTCTGGCCCAGATGCTGGAGACAATGATTCAAATTGTAGATATATATATATTACATTTCTCTACATTTATATATCGCAGGTCCTGGTATCTGCTCAAATGTGGTTTTGTTTGTTCCCTGACCAGTGGATCTGTTTGCATTCCAGTTATCATTCTCAACTCCCTGGGGAGTATACAACCCAAGCTGCCTAGGGGCGCCAGAAGGTTTTTACACCCGAACCATCTCACATGTCGGGTCCCCATTCCCTGCTGGGGGAACAGAGGCATGTTTGAACTAAGTCACTTGCCCAGGGGGACACCACAAGTTTTGACACTTGGGTTTCGGGTGTATGTATGTATGTATGTAGACTCAGATTAAGATGTAACTGGGTAAATGTGGATGAGTTGTATATCTTGGACTGCTAAAGGTGTTGCTGACTGCATGCACAAACAAGGAAACAATGCATGCCAGTAAGTAGCACTGCTACAACAAATCTAAATTAACATCAATTAAGTTAAGTTGTCTTGATTTGAATACTGGTTAGTGAAACATCAAAAAGAATGCAAACTGAACAAGCTGCAAACTGTTACCGTGGCAACCTAATCAACATGAAAATGCAGCAGGCTGGTTGACCATTGTACTAGTTACCTCCCCTTATCTGAGCAAGTCGGAGTATATTGATGTTATTCAATACTCTATATAACTTGTTCAAAATTATACAAGCACCGTATTAATAAAGTGTTCTCACAATTTACACTAGTCTGTCTCACAGTCCCTGAACCAAATTATTTTCCTTTCTGTCCAGCCCTCTCTCTAATGCCATAGCCCTAAATCTAGCAATCTAGACTTTCCCTGGTTCAGGTTCTAAATCCCCCATCTCACTGGGGCTCCAGAGGGAGTTATTTGTTTCTATCAAGTGTTAGTCACTAGCTAGCTTCCCCTGAATAAATTTAAATACAATATTTTATTCTGATAAATATTGAAAAAATATTTTACATATTTTATGACAACAAAGGCTACAGAAGAAAATGCTTCCAATGTATGTAACAATGTGCCATGTCCTACTTCACAGCACTCCCTAGTGGCACAAGAAAAATGTAGAAATTGGATTACATTTTCACTGAACAATTCCAAAGTTGGAATACAACCCTTTTCAGACAGGTGTCGCTATAGCTCCTCACAGCTCCCTCCTCTCACAGCTCCCTGTTCACTGATGCTCGAGGCATGATGTAAGCAGACCCAATAATCAAGCTGACATTTCACCTGCTGAGCTTGACACCACTGAATGCCAAGGCAACATTGTGAGAGGAAAGGTCACTGTCTTGGCCTACATTCCACGACTGAGTGATTGTACTCCCGGCCAGAACAAAGTCAGGTCTGAATGATGTGACAGCATTGTTCTCCACACTGGAGTATCTACACATCAGCACCTGCACTGAAATACTGGATGGAGACCGGGCACATGGCCTGTGCCAGGTCTGAATGATGTGACGGCATTGTTCTCCACACTGGAGTATCTACACACCAGCACCTGCACTGAAATACTGGATGGAGACCGGGCACATGGCCTGTGCCAGGCAGGATCAGACAAAATACACTTGGAAATTAAAACATGCAGGAAACTTATCTGTCTCATTCAAGAACCACAACCACAGAGCAACTCACCTACGTGGACTTGCTTGAACAACAATAAAACTAAACCCTACATGGACATTCTTGAACAACAATAAAACTTAACCCTACATGGACATGCTTGAACAACAATAAAACTAAACCCTTCGTGGACATGCTTGAACAACAATAAAACTAAACCCTACATGGACATGCTTGAACAACAATAAAACTAAACCCTACGTGGACATGCTTTGATAATAACAAAACCATCACCAATGTGGACATGCTTGAATAACAACAAAACCGTCACCCACCTGGACGTGCTTGGAGGTGACAGCAACTAGACTACAGGAACCAAGGACTATCACCAACTACTTCAAGTTTGGTTCATCATCACCTCAGCACACTTCACAAACTGATTGTTTGCTGGCACTGTACTAACTACATAACCTCAACACATGATGGTCGTAGTGTTACGCTCACTTCAGACTTATGATGGTCGTAGTGTTATAATGAGTTCAGACTTACGATAGTCGTACTGCTACGATCACTTCAGACTTATGATGGTTGTACTGATATGATGACATGGACTTATGATGGTTGTAGTGTTACGATCACTTCAGACTTATGATGGTCGTAGTGTTATAATGAGTTCAGACTTATGATGGTCTTAGTGCTACGATCACTTAGAGTTATGATGGTCATAGTTCTATGATCACTTACACTTACGATGGTCATAGTGCTATGATAACTTTAAACACATTATGGTCGTAGTGCTACGATCACTTCAGATTTATGATGGTTGTAGTGATATGATGACATGGACTTATAATGATTGTAGTGTTACGATCACTTCAGACTTATGATGGTTGTAGTGTTATAATGAGTTCAGACTTACGATGGTCGTAGTGCTATGATCACTTCAGACTTATGATGATTGTAGTGTTACGATCACTTCAGACTTATGATGGTTGTAGTGTTACGATCACTTCAGACTTATGATGGTTGTAGTGTTACGATCAGTTAGGACTTATGATGGTCGTAGTGCTATGATCACTTTGTGAAAATTGGCCACTTCTGTCAATCTCTCAATCTGAACGTTCCTAAATGTAGAATTATTTCCCTTGATAAGTCTTCACTTATCCAATTCATATCCAAATTGCACAATGGAAAGCTGATTTGTTCTATCATTTTCACTAGTTATGCATGTGTTGTACTGAGGTGATGATGCCCGACTATGAGGGGGGCAGGGACATGGGGTAGAGAGACACAGGTATACCTTGAGGTGGGGGGTAGTACCCCGTCTGGTCTGGAGCACCTGGCTGCCCCGGCGGGGGTATGTAGCCAGGTTGAGGGGGATATCCGGGCTGAGGGGGGTATCCGGGCTGGGGGGCCATTTGACCTGTGATGTCAGGGACCACATGAATATCACATCCTCGTCATTACCCCGTAGTGGGTGATAAGACATATACTACCCCATACTGGGTGATACATAGATTTATACAACAGGAAACAAACTTTGCAATGAGGAAACAACAACGTGTAAGATAATTATTCTTATGGATTATCATGACTATATGTAAAATTCGTAAGAAACAATTGCTATGTTTCCTATAGAATCTATGGCCAAGATGATGTTCTGAGAGTTATATACTATAATACAATAATCCTTGTCTATCAAATTGAATCAAAAGCAAGAAATAGAATATAAGACTGTTGCACACGAAGGCAAGTGCTATACAGAATGTTACCATGGTAACATGCATACAGTAGTACTCACAGACCAGAATGTTTGCATTAGATTTCAGAAGAAAACAGATCTGTATGACAGGATGCTTTGACGATGCCGGTTTCAGAATCAGATCATCAACAGTTGTTATCAACATACAGAAAAAGTCCTTAGCTAGGTTATCGGAGAACGAGCTTGGTTTGACAACGCTCTGAAACAATTTCAGTTACCGTATTTGACGTAATAAGCGCCCAGGGCGCTCTCAAAATTAGAAATAGGGGGCTCTTATCAGAATATTATTTTGGTGGAATAAACAGAGTTGAAAGATAAATATCGTGGTTTATGCTGACGGCCTGACTGTTTATATACGACAGATATATTTTTCCAGACTTTAATTGCCCATAATTAAGAGTGCATATAACACACGATTGCGTATTATACACGAATAAATAGATCTTGTGTACATTGATCAATCGGAAGGGGTGCTAATTGGGATTGTTCACTTGCCAATATATTAGCAAATATCACCGTGGGCGCTTATTAGAGCGGGGCGCTTATTACGTTGAATACGGTATATCATGTGTGGTGAGTTTCATGTGTGAGGGAAGTGACGCAAGTGTTTACCACTCTAGTGACACCCATGAGTGCCGGTATGGCGATGATAGTTATGTAATCAGAGTCAATCAGGGACTCAAACCCAGTAGGTGCTGTTGTGCCCAAGGGACATAACTCTGCACAGGGAATTGTAGCGTTGAGATGACTGTGCCATCAATGTATCCGATGGTTAGAAGACCATGGTGGAACTCACACTGTGCTTATTACCAAGGAACAGATGTCTGTGGGCACAACGTGGCAGAGTATGTACTTCAAGAAATAATGGTTAACTGGATATTTCCAGATGTCACCAGAGACGGTGTACAGTCGACATCCAGCCTCTATACTGTAGTGAGTGAGTGAGTAAGTATTGTTATAGCAATATTACAGCATTATCACAGCGGGGGACACCAGCAATGGGCTTCACACATTGTACCCATGTGGGGAATCTAACCCGGGTCTTCGGCCTGATGAGTGAACACTTTAACTACTAGGCTGCCCGACCTCACCTATACCCAACTGTTAATCATGAAGTGGACTCCCGGTGTTCAAAGCCCTGAAAGGAAACTCACAGGTCAGCTGCAGCTGGTGTTGGATGATGTGTATGAGGTACTGACCTGCATCAGGGTATCCTGGCGGCGGGCCTGCCTCTGCGGGGGGAGGCTGCACTGGTGCGGCGTACGTCATGGTAGGTGCAGGGGCTGAAACAAAAACACCATCGTCTTCAGGTCTTAGTTACATACAATGTTCGAAATTGCTGCCTGCCTGCAAGCCAAATGCTGGTGACTTTGAGCAGAGCAACATATTCCGTAAAGCTGGCCTGACTGTCTAGTTGGCCAATACATATTTATTTCTACGACTCACATGGTCAGTTAAGGCGTTATTTAACGTCAAAGTCTGCGCCGTTTTGCTTTCATTTCGTAGTTTATCAAAAGTGTTTCGGGCAGGTAAAATATGACGAGGGCTTGCAGTATACATTGTATTTTGTACAAGCCTTCCTGGCCAGTGAACTTTGGGAACTAATCCACACACTGTTACATAGTGTTGCTACATTGTTGCAAGTATTACATATGTGTAGGTGTTACTGAGTGCAGCTACATTGTTATACATTACATTAGTTTTGCTACTTTGTTACATGTTACATATAGTTGCATGTTTTACAAAGTGTTGCTACCTTGCTATTGCAATTACAAAGTATCACTACATTGTTGTCCTTCACAGACCCGGCAATAAAGCTGTGTGTTCCTACATCCGTATACACTGGTCCTTCACAGACCCACCAATAAAGCTGTATGTTCTTACATCTGTATACAATGGTCCTTCACAGACCCACCAATAAAGCTGTGTGTTCCTACATCCGTATACAATGGTCCTTCACAGACCCACCAATAAAGCTATGTGTTCCTACATCCGTATACAATGGTCCTTCACAGACCCAGCAATAAAGCTGTATGTTCTTACATCTGTATACAATGGTCCTTCACAGACCCAGCAATAAAGCTGTGTGTTCCTACACTATATACAATGGTCCTTCACAGACCCAGCAATAAAGCTGTATGTTCCTACATCCGTATACAATGGTCCTTCACAGACCCACCAATAAAGCTGTGTGTTCCTACACTGTATACAATGGTCCTTCACAGACCACCAATAAAGCTGTGTGTTCCTACATCCATATACAATGGTCCTTCACAGACCCAGCAATAAAGCTGTATGTTCCTACATCCGTATACAATGGTCCTTCACAGACCCACCAATAAAGCTGTGTGTTCCTACATCCGTATACAATGGTCCTTCACAGACCACCAATAAAGCTGTGTGTTCCTACATCCGTATACAATGGTCCTTCACAGACCACCAATAAAGCTGTGTGTTCCTACACTGTATACAATGGTCCGTCACAGACCACCAATAAAGCTGTGTGTTCCTACATCCGTATACAATGGTCCTTCACAGACCACCAATAAAGCTGTGTGTTCCTACATCCGTATACAATGGTCCTTTACAGACCACCAATAAAGCTGTGTGTTCCTACATCCGTATACAATGGTCCTTCACAGACCCATCAATAAAGCTGTGTGTTCCTACATCCGCATACAATGGTCCTTCACAGACCCATCAATAAAGCTGTGTGTTCCTACATCCCTATACAATGGTCCTTCAAAGACCCATCAATAAAGCTGTGTGTTCCTACATCCGCATACAATGGTCCTTCAAAGACCCATCAATAAAGCTGTGTGTTCCTACATCCCTATACAATGGTCCTTCAAAGACCCATCAATAAAGCTGTGTGTTCCTACATCCGCATACAATGGTCCTTCAAAGACCCATCAATAAAGCTGTGTGTTCCTACATCCGCATACAATGGTCCTTCACAGACCCATCAATAAAGCTGTGTGTTCCTACATCCCTATACAATGGTCCTTCAAAGACCCATCAATAAAGCTGTGTGTTCCTACATCCGCATACAATGGTCCTTCAAAGACCCATCAATAAAGCTGTGTGTTCCTACATCCGCATACAATGGTCCTTCACAGACCCAGCAATAAAGCTTTGTGTTCCTACACTGTATACAATGGTCCTTTACCGACCCAGCAATAAAGCTTTGTGTTCCTACATCCGTATACAATGGTCCTTCACAGACCCACCAATAAAGCTGTATGTTCCTACATCCATATACAATGGTCCTTCACAGACCCACCAATAAAGCTGTGTGTTCCTACATCCGTATACAATGGTCCTTCACAGACCACCAATAAAGCTGTGTGTTCCTTTATCTGTATACAATGGTCCTTCACAGACCACCAATAAAGCTGTATGTTCCTACATCTGTATACAATGGTCCTTCACAGACCACCAATAAAGCTGCATGTTCCTACATCTGTATACAATGGTCCTTCACAGACCCAGCAATAAAGCTATATGTTCCTACATCCGCATACAATGGTCCTTCACAGACCACCAATAAAGCTGTGTGTTCCTATATCTGTATACAATGGTCCTTCACAGACCACCAATAAAGCTGTATGTTCCTACATCTGTATACAATGGTCCTTCACAGACCACCAATAAAGCTGCATGTTCCTACATCTGTATACAATGGTCCTTCACAGACCCAGCAATAAAGCTATATGTTCCTACATCCGTATACAATGGTCCTTCACAGACCACCAATAAAGCTGTATGTTCCTACATCCGTATACAATGGTCCTTCACAGACCCACCAATAAAGCTGCATGTTCCTGCATCCATATACAATGGTCCTTCACAGACCCACCAATAAAGCTGCATGTTCCTACATCTGTATACAATGGTCCTTCACAGACCCACCAATAAAGCTATATGTTCCTACATCCGTATACAATGGTCCTTCACAGACCACCAATAAAGCTGTATGTTCCTACATCCGTATACAATGGTCCTTCACAGACCCACCAATAAAGCTGCATGTTCCTGCATCCATATACAATGGTCCTTCACAGACCAACCAATAAAGCTGTGTGTTCCTACACTGTATACAATGGTCCTTCACAGACCCAGCAATAAAGCTGTGTGTTCCTACATCCGTATACAATGGTCCTTCACAGACCCACCAATAAAGCTGTGTGTTCCTACATCCGTATACAATGGTCCTTCACAGACCACCAGTAAAGCTGTGTGTTCCTACATCCGTATACAATGGTCCTTCACAGACCCAGCAATAAAGCTGTGTGTTCGTACATCTGAATACAATGGTCCTTCACAGACCCCTGTACATAAATCACTGGAAATACACACATTATACCCTTTGAAGAGCTTCCGGCTGTGAAAACAGAACAAACAGTACTCTCTACTTTCACCTCTACTAAGAAACTAACTCAATGTATGGGCACAAAAACAAAACAAACTTTCAAAATTTGACAGTGACCTTGGTTTTACACCATGGCCACCTGAACAATGTAGACAAGGAGTGGAAGAAAATTTCAAATATAAGTTAGGGATTAGTTTTGTTTGTTTGTTGTTTAACGCCACAATCAGCAATATTCCAGCTATATGACAGCAGTCTGTAAATAATAGAGTTTGGACCAGACAATCCAGTGATTGACATCATGAGCATCGATCCAGGCAATTGTGATACGATGACAAGCATCAACCAAGTCAGCGAGCCTGACCCTCCGATTCTGTTGGTCGCCTCTTATGACAAGAATAGTCGCTTTTTATGGCAAGCAAGGGTTGCGGAAGACCTATCCTCCTCGGATCTTCACGGGTCTCATGGATTAGTAACTTTAAGTGAGTGTGATAATATTAGGGCAATAGTGGGAAACATTAGGATCAGTGCAAGCTAGTCAGCAGATACGCAGTTGTGTTGATGCGATGTATGAAGGTCTAAACACCTCTGTGAATTAACATGTGTAATTGTATAACATTGCTCCTGTCTGCCATACACAATGACCAGGTATGACAGTACTTAGTGTTCACACCAACACAACTATTCCTTCCTAATCGCATCAAAAATATGATATTTGTCATCAAACAATTATCAACTGTTCTGAAGTTGGTTTTTAGAAAATCCAATATGGCTGCCAAGTTGTAATAGAGTTCTAATCAGAAAGATAGAAATTAAGAAGCATGTTTAGTGTTTAACTCTAACTAATTATTAACAGGTGTGTTAAAGTCAGTCTAAGCCTTAGTGCATAGTTGTGGCACAAAGTGTTGGTGAACAGGATACAATGAGAATGTTCTCAACATGGGTCTACCTCTCACACAGGGAAAAGTGAGTGAGTGAGTGAGTTGGGTTTAACACCGCTTTTAACAGTATTCCAGTTATATCACGGCGTGTCAGCTTAATGTGGGAGGAAAGCCCGAAGTGATGCAGGTCTCAGGCGTTTACCATTTCGGTGAAACCCACGAGCACGGGTATGGTGCTGACAAACCTAGAAACATAATCAGGGCGAACCGGGATTCGAACCCACGATGATAGGTTTCTGGAGTGCCCAAGGGACGCAACTCTGCACAGCGAATCGTGGCGCCTTAGATGACTGGGCCACCCATGCCCCCACAGGGAAAAGTAATGCATAGAAACACATTAGAGCCTTTTATGCTTTTAGCAATATTAAAGCAATATCATAGCGGGGGACACTAGAAATGGGCTTCACACATTGTACCCATGTCGAGAATCGAACCCGGGTCTTCTGCATGAAGAGCGAATGCTTTAACCACAAGGCTACCTGACCGCCCCTCTACAGGAATAGGTCCAATCTAAAAGTGAATCTGTTTCACACATGGTTACGTAGAACTAGGAGCCACTGGAAACTGTGATTGTGACTGTCCTTGATCCAGACATGGACGAAGCGTCCCAACAACTGTGTCTCCTGGATATTCAACCACTACAAGCAGCAGCATGCAGACTATGTAGACATGCACACACACACACAGTGTACTTACAATACTGATTGGTGATGGCTAGAACATGCAAGCAAACATACACTGAACCAACAAATGGGTAAATAAGCCACACATTTGTACAACAACACATAAAACAGGATTGCACTTGCACCATGCGATGAACACTGATAGGGAACTATCACTACAGTTAGAACCACACATCTAAGTGCAAGACACGGACAGCTGCAGGGCTAAGATCACTTGATGAACGGGAGCCTGAGCATAGGATATATAATGTTGACAAAACATACAGGTTTTATTTTTCTGCTGTCTTTTTTGTCAATCTTTGATAACACTTCAATATGCATTTAGAAGTGGTTTAATAAGAAATCCGTTCTATGACTATATTTGGTAACACTTTTGTACACATCTAGAAGTGGTATAATTAGAAATAAGTTCCATGACTATATTTGGTAACACTCTTGTACACATCTAGAAGCGGTATAATTAGAAATAAGTTCTATGACTATATTTGGTAACACTTTTGTACACATCTGGAAGTGGTATAATTAGAAATAAGTTCTATGACTAAAATACAAACTATGCAGTCAACTCTCTCATAGAAAAGTCATGTCAACTGGTCATACTCCAGTATGCACATAAATCTGCTGAAGACAAAAGTACTAACTACAAGATACAAGTAACTAACTATGCACTATGGATCTGCAACAATGAATGCATTATTGTAGAGCATAGTTCAACAACAGTTAAACCTAATTTACACCAAGCCTCATAAACAGTCAAAGGAGAATCATTATTCTAATGCCATACAATTTTTCTAATTCTTTCACAACAAAAAGGAGTAAAATCCTAATGATCTGAACAATTTATTATTTTTTAAATTAAATTTTAAGTGTGGATTTGAACAAAATTTGATGTCATCATGGAGGGCCAGACATGTCAAAGCTTCCTAAGTCTGACAATTTCAGAGAAGATGTTAGCACAAAAAACCTTCAATTTGAGATAATTTAAGAGCACTTACATATATTTGGGGCAGCTATGGCTTAGCAGTGTTGGTTGGTTGGTTGGTGTGTTGTTTAACACCGCACTCAGCAATATTCCAGCTATATGATGGCGGTCTTTAAATAATCGAGTCTTGACCAGACAATCCAGTGACTGACATTATGAGCATCGATCCACGTAACTGGGATCGATGACATGCATCAGCCAGGTCAGCGAGCCTGACCACCCGATCCCGTAAGTCGCCTCTTACGACAAGCATAGTTGCCTTTTACAGCAAGCATGGGTTGCTGAAGACCTATTCTACCCTGAATCTTCACGGGTCTGCTTAGCAGTGACCCTATGAAGTTTTTTCCATATAACTGCCACAGTGGCCACATTGAAAATCATATTCAATCCTTGTTCAATGGTGGGACCAAGAATGTGAAGTTTCTGCATCTTTGGGGCAGGGGTGCTGAGGGAGATGATGTTTCAAAGGGTGAGGAAAGAAGTTTGAGATAACTTAAGAGCATGGTCAAACTACAAAGCTCAAAATTTAAAACATTGCTAAAAACAGAACATATATATTGAGCTCCACTACTAACTTCACATGTGCCCAGTGTCATATATATTGAACAAATATGGCCATGAAAAGGTTTTTCAATATTGCTGCCATGGTGGCCACATTAAAACAGGACTCGAACCTCTTGAAACAACTGGGGTGTCATCATTGGTGGGAAAAAGAATGTGAAGGTTTAGTTCCAATGGTCCTGTGGGGTCTGACAAGATGTTGACAACGGACAATGGATCACGGACAACGGACAAACAGGCCTTGACATAAGCTCCCTTGACCTTTGTCAGGGGAACTAGTAATGTTGGCATGAATCTGATCATCTTGACATATAACATTACTGATATAAATATATAAACTAGTGGGTGAGTTAACATGGTTAAGAGGAAAGGCATTACATTTTAGTAAATGAATATCATAAATCAAGAACATTTTACAAGATCCTAAATATCAATTACTGATGGGAGATAAGTAGGTTAGCATGGTTCTAGCCTACGCTCAAAGAAAGTTAGCGACATACATATAGCTTGTGTTGTCAAGAACATTTATGTACATGTAGGTTGTATACCATGAAAAATAGGAAGTGTGTGTTCTGATACACAACCACTGAACAACAGGCTCAGCTGAGTGCCAGGACTTGTGTGTTCTGAGACACAACCACTGAACAACAGGCTCAGCTGAGTGCCAGGAAGTGTGTGTTCTGAGACACAACCACTGAACAACAGGCTCAGCTGAGTGCCAGGAAGTGTGTGTTCTGAGACACAACCACTGAACAACAGGCTCAGCTGAGTGCCAGGACTTGTGTGTTCTGAGACACAACCACTGAACAACAGGCTCAGCAGAGTGCCAGGAAGTGTGTGTTCTGAGACACAACCACTGAACAACAGGCTCAGCTGAGTGCCAGGACTTGTGTGTTCTGAGACACAACCACTGAACAACAGGTGAAGCTGAGTGCCAGGACTTGTGTGTTCTGAGACACAACCACTGAACAACAGGCTCAGCTGAGTGCCAGGACTTGTGTGTTCTGAGACACAACCACTGAACAACAGGCTCAGCTGTGTGTCAGGACTTGTGTGTTCTGAGACACAACCACTGAACAACAGGCTCAGCTGAGTGCCAGGAAGTGTGTGTTCTGAGACACAACCACTGAACAACAGGCTCAGCTGAGTGCCAGGACTTGTGTGTTCTGAGACACAACCACTGAACAACAGGCGAAGCTGTGTGTCAGGACTCTGCATTGTCCCAGGGGTACAGAATCAATGTTAGAATCTACACTGAACAACAGGCCCCACAATGCTCCACGCGACTATGTAGCACACATGTATCTGCAATAATGTTGAAGTGTGGAACACCACATCTTTGTGAGGTTAATAACAGCATAATCAATGTCACATTGGAGTGGCATCCCACAATTATTCAGCATGACCATGTTATTGCTGGGTTTACAGGGGTTTTGTGGGGTTGGGAGGAAGTCTACAGGGGTTTTGTTGGGTTTTGTCTTCAACAAGACAGCAGGGTGACTGAGTGGATGAGGGTATGGAGCCATCAAACCCAGGTTTCATAGGAAGAAACACTCTCTCCACCATGTTACCCACATGAGAGGATGTGTTGGGGTGGGAACGGCACTAAGGGTGGCTGTGTTTGGGGTGGGAACAGCACTAAGGGTGGCTGTGTTTGGGGTGGGAACAGCACTAAGGGTGGATGTGTTTGGGGTGGGAACAGCACTAAGGGTGGATGTGTTTGGGGTGGGAACAGCACTAAGCAGGGAATCTGCATGGATGAAAGGTATGGAGCCATCAGGGTCATGTATTCATAACTTCATGGTAACTTTAGGGATATTTATTTCTAAAATTGATAGTAGGGACGATTAATGTTGTTAATTCTCTGAAAAATAGGTTACATTGCTTGGTTAAACAGAAAACCCAATATTTGAAGTGTTATGCTTTGGACGGGACACGGGTTACAGCTGTGAAGCATTAAAGCATAAAATGTAACTTACCATATGCTATAGTTAAAGAAAAGAAACAAGAGCAAAAATCATATAACAAGGCAAGACTGCACATGCTGCAAACACAGGCAGGCATTCAACAGGTTGAACTGTCTCCCCCTGTCATGTTCAGGCCTCAGAAGCAAGCTTTCTCCTTGTTCGATATACTTCTCTACTTTAGATAAGGGTCGTTCCGTTCATCCATGACACTCCAAACTCATCATATTTCATGTACATATTGATCAATATTCCCCTGAGTACACAACACACACCTCAGTCTGGTGTAAATGTTACATGGAAACTTTCATCGAGATAAATACTCATCTTATTAAAAGATATCTCAACAACAGGAATGAAATGGATCACTAAATGAAAGTGCGAAATGCACAGGACATAACCTACATGGTCTAGCCACATCTGTTAGCTCTACACGATAAATTATCCAAATTTGTCCAAAGTAAAAAAAAGAAATGTTGATTGAAACCACAAATCATTTCTACTAATGCCTTTGTCATAACTTTCATTTCAAGGTTTTCTAAAGGATACTGACATCCAATCAATGATGAAAATGTTAATATTTCATTTTGCCATCCCATTTCTTGGCACACTAACAACAATGACCAAACAGTCTGTACAACAAGAGGTTGCTCTGGCCTGTGTGCACAAACAGGAAGAAGTACCTCAGTGTCCCTAGCAATAGATGGTTATTCAGTGCAGCTAAGTCAAAATTCATTACTTATTGCATTTAATCCAAAATTTGTTACCATGACATGCTACATGCCAGTCTGCTCTCAGACAAGGCAGGAGAACTTGGACCACAGTCTGCCTCGGAATCTGCACATGGGGAAATTCTCCCAAACCAATCAGGAACCAGCAAAACGTGCTGATGCTAAAAGAATGTTTTGTGGATGTGGGACAGGATGTGCTATACATCGAACTACCATGAAGTGACTACTAATGTGGCGGTATGGTGGGTAGAAGACAATGTACTCACCTGGTTCTGATTTGGAGAAAGGGCTTAAAACTTTGCCACCTTGGTTCGACCTCTTCTTACATACGCAATACACGATGATCCCAACGATGACCACCACCACCAGCACGCCGATCACGATTCCTGCAGTCCGACCGGCGCTGAGAGAACATGGGTGGCAATTATACGTTTGGTGCTCACGGTTAACGTGAATGAGTTCAACACAGCTTTGAACAGTATTCCAGTTACATCCCGGCATGTGAGCTGATGCGGGAGGAGGGAAGCCTGAAGTGATGCAGGTCTCAGACGTTTACCACTTTGGTGAAACCCACGAGCACGGGTGTGGTGCTGACGTTGGTTATCCTTTCGCTTTAGGTCATAACATTTTCTAAACATTTGGATGGGAAGATCGACAAACAGGCCATGATGAAAGCTAATTTCCAGCTATATGACGGCGGTTTGTAAATAATTGAGTCTTGACCAGACAATCCAGTGATTGACATCATAAGCATCAACCTACGCAATTGAGATATGATGACAAGCATCGACCAAGTCAGCGAGCCTGACCACCCGATCCCGTTAGTCGCCTCTTACGACAAACATGGGTTGCTGAAGATCTATTCTACACCGGATTCTGCACGGGTTCCAGGCTAGGTAACCCATACACCCTAGTTCATCTGGTTATATTACATCATATTCGTTTCACCTGCCTCTCGTGTGGACATTAGTCAGCATTCATCTCTTGGTACTAGTCTGTTTGGGATAACCACCACACAGTTTTAAAATATCTTATTCTCAGAAAAGCAAATGTCTGTGTTTCAGCTGTTGAATGTTTCTATATCTTCCTTTGCAAAATTGCTACAAAGGAATTTTCAGACATTTTCTGCAGCAGCTGTCTGTGCCATGTTCTGAAAATGTGTGAACAGCTGATTTCTAGTTCTGGATTATTTTACGAGACAAATAAACATGTAATCTAATCTCGGCGTATGAAACATTGTCCGGCATACAGTACACAAATACCATTGGATTTGTAAATCATCATGTCGAGGGATGTTTTATTGTAAATTTCATGTCTTCATCGACCAAATTTGCAAATGGCAAAACAAGCACACAAACTCCTATTGCCGCCATGACCATAACACGAGATGCACAGTAAAGCAGTGCTCATGTAAAGGGAAATAAATAAAATAAAATATTGTAGCACTTCACTGGCAGGGGTTGTGTGTTTAAAAAGCAGAATTTTTAAGGACTTTTTAAAAAAATTGGAATGACCTTCAAGTACATAAGAAAGAGTTAAGTGAGTTTGGTTTTAGGCAGCTTTTAGCAATATTCCAGAAATATCATGGCTGGGGACACCAGAAAGAAATGGGGTTCACACATTGTACCCATGTCGGGAATCAAACCCGGGTCCTCGGCGTGATGAGCGAACGCCTTAACAACTAGGCGACCCGACTGCCCTCAAGTTCATAAGAAACAGAAGCAGTACTAAGCTTAGATTAATAATGATTTTAGTTTTTCTTTCGACCACCAATATTGAAGGATAGGCCACATTATTTTTTATTACAGAATTTGGTCTAAACTTCAATATAGGTGATTGAAAGAAAAATACAGTAAACTATGTTTATAACGAACATGGTTATAACAAACTGACGGAGAAGATGAACTTATTTTTTGGATCCTGGCCATTTGCTGTATATATGCCGTACATATGCTAATAATGAACTACGGTTATAACAAACTAAAATCAGTTGCCCATTGGAGTTCGTTATAACTGTAGTTTACGGTATAGAATAATTTTAACTGACAAAATAAAAGGCCTTATGAAGTGAAAAGTTTTTCTACTAATTCACACAGAGTCCTCTTGATGTCAACACGTGGGTTTTCTGTAGTTACCTGTCGAAATACTTGCAGCAGTATTCACGAAGTTCAGGGCCACAGCAGTACTGGAAGTCGTCAGGTTCGAAGAAGCGAGGGCAGAAGAAGAGGTTGTACACAGTGTTGTTGTCATCAGTCTCGTAGTTATTGCGACATATGGTCGGCACTGGAAGACAATATTGAAACTAAGGACATATGTTCCCTGTCATCCATTTTCTGTAATTAGTGCAGTAGGTGCCCTCCTCTGAACATAGGGGACTTCTTTGAGTGAGTACGCCTCTTTTAGCAATATTCCAGCAATATCATCGCAAGGGACACCAGAAATGGGCTTCACACATTGTACCCATATCAGGAATCAAACCTGGGTCTCTGGTGTGACGAGCTAACTCTTCAACCACTAAGCTACCTGACCTCCGCAACTTCTAAGAACTACTGATTATAGAAAGAAGACAATATTTCAAATAACAGGACGGCTGTTGAGAAAACTGTCATTCTTCATTTTTTTTTTTTTCAACACTTGGAAAAATTATGACATACTCATTCACAGACAAAACGACAGAAGAAAAAGACAAAGGTACACGTACTGTTGTTTGGGTGAGAGTGATAGCGTCGGGAGCGGAGGTACCACGGGCCGTGGTAGATAGTTCCCAGCAGGAAGGCATTCTTCCATGTAGATCTGGTCAGACCATAGCTGCCCTTGTACATCCTTGAGCTGCCTCGGTAGCGGACTCGCTGACGAATGCGGACCCTGCTACTTCCGTACCTGGTAGGGATGAAATGATACAGAGAGGTCACGATACGTATAATGAGTCATAGGTCACGATAACATATATATCGCAATACACATATTTACATCAAATCACATGAAAACTTCTTTACCATAAATATTTCAGAGCAGGGTCCAAAGGAAAAGCTTTCTGGAGATTCATGTTCGTAGCATCTATTTTATTATTACCCACGTAGTGAAGATACAGGTGGTAAGATACTAAATATGTATGTCAACATCTTCCCGAGGCAAGAGAGTTAACTGACTTTAAAAGTCCAGTTTCCACCCTTGCCGAACAAAGCTGGAATTCCTGGGCTCGATCGTAGCACCACCAGTGGCTATTACGAGTTATGTCCTTTCCATGCCTCTCCTATCAGATTCAACCTCTCGTGTCACCTGCATTTGCTTCAAACAAAATGGTGGCTCCCAGTCAAGATGGTCTGGTCGATAATGAAGATCTATATTGTGATAAAACGAGTCTTACAACGCGAAGTGCATCAAATCACGTGAGAACCTTGATTAATAACATGAAAAGATTTTGAAAATATCTGTTGACAACGAGTTAGCGGTGCACATGCTTTGCAAATCCTCCAGTCGACCGAAATCTGCATGACACTTTACAAACCGGATTTCAATTTCGGTGCACGATTTTGATTGGACTATGCATAGACTAATTAGTCCAGCCAAAATGTAACTCCATAATACTAGCCTAGTCCGGCAAGGGTTGAAACAGGACTTTTATAGTCAGTTAACTCACTTGCCTCGGGAAGATGGTATGTTGTATAGTGTGTTGTATAAGGTTGACAGCTTTTATTCGTTTTGATTGGATAACCGTGACCTCTGTCACACCAGAACTACTTTTTTCATTCATAAAAAATGTCGTCATTCACTTTTACAACTACAAGGCAGAACTGACACAAGAAAACAGCTTTATCACTATCCCCCGTCATGAGGCACATTCGAAGTTTGTTTGTTCATATAATAGTGAACGTAAACAGACAAAAGAGCCCCAACAAGCCTTAAGAAGAGATAGGCACATGGGCCACTATTTGTCATCAGAAAAAATAATTAAATGTGAATTTAATACACACAAAAGGCCCTTTTATTGGAAAAAATTACACAGCCTTGATAAGGATCTCTTAGATGAGCTATCTTCAGTTGTTTCTGAGAAAACTTGTCCCCATTACACAAATACTATAGATCGAAGGCCATAACACTGTAAACAAATAATTCACGGGACCAATTTTTCAAACTCAGTCTTGACAGGTATCTCTTAGATAAGCATTCAAACTTCCATTCATGTAGCTTCAGTGGTTTCTGGGAAAACTTGTCCCCCTGCACAAACTAAAATAACATGGGTCAAGGGCCATAACTCTGTAAACAAATATTTTCTCTGACTTTAATAGTTTTTGAGGAAATTTGACCCCTTTGAGAACCCGATGGACAGACGAAAGGACAGATGGATGGACTGAGGGATGGACGGACAGGCAAACTCCGTTCCAATATCCCCGCCCCACTTCACGGAGGGGGATAATAATCTCATGAAAGCAAGAGACATTTATACTCACATTATTAAACCAAACAAGATAGTTGCACTCTTAAAATTGGCTTTGCAGTCTATATTAGTTATGCATAGAGCTACTACAGACATTATATAATTGAGCTTTATCCATTTGCAACGTACGACTAGCAATAGATGGAGGGTCCCTATGAGCGTGATGCACCCGAGCACTTTTGCTTCTTTTGATTTGATTTAACATAAAAGGTTCAGCGTGGTGACGTGTAGTCACTTTAAACTTTCTGGACAGATATCGAGACTTACGTGGGATGCTCCGGTTGTGCCATCTGTGTCCTCTTTGAAGCGTATTTTGTGACATGAAATAACATACATGACTGCACGACCAGATCACTCAAACTGAACAGTCCCGATAACTCGAAAACTCAGTGGAAGTGTGACCGACTTTTGTTTTTGTGGCAAAGAACATCCTAAATGTGAACAATAACAGTTCCTATTGATCGCTTGTGTAAAAAAAGCTGTCAGTAGATCACATTTGTCTTTTCTTGTTCCGATGGTGACCTTGCCCTTCATTTGAAGCTGTCACTAACATGCAAGCAGACTATATTGTGTTGATTTGCAGGTCTTCAGGACAGGGTGGTACAGTTAATAATAATAATAATAATAATTGATTTGTAAAGCGCCTTATATCCATCGACAGTTGCTCACTGGCGCTGTGACAAATTTAAAAAGTAATGTCTATGTAATGTATATGCCAACAATCAGGAGATCTATTGAAAAGCTGAAGTGAAGAAGTGGGTTTTGAGGAGAGACTTAAACGTTTCCTTAGAAGCAGAGTTTCTCAGATTCAAAGGCAAAGAGTTCCATAACTGTGGACTGCAAAAGGAGAAGGCACGGTCAGACATAGCAGAAGTAGACAGAGGCTGATACAGTAGAGTTCCACCAGAGGATCGGAGAGCACGCTCTGGAGAGTACAGGGATATAAGATCTTTGAGATAGTCTGGATAGTCGCTATTGTTGAGGCAGTCGTGAGGCCTGATACATATCTTATAGTTTATACGAAAGGAGACTGGAAGCCAATGTAGTGCTTTGAGGACAGGACTGATATGATCGGATCTTGGAACTTTAGAGATGCATCTAGCTGCAGAGTTCTGAATGCGGTGGTACAGTTAACATTAACGTCTGTGACGAGCACTCTGGTCTCCCTCTTTCAAAGTGGTATGTATATGATATAAACTCAGCTGATAGATCAAGGAAACCGCACCAGTTTAAATGAGCAGCCGTGATCCAAGCGGTGCGAGTGACCAAGTGTTGGTCCGAAATTCAAAGTGTCGCACAGTTTGACTTTTTTCAGTTTCCTTACAGTTGCCCTGCATACTAACAACAATGCGCCTGAATTACCAAAAGTTGCAGAAATTCTAAAACAGAGATTTTGAGCATTGGTGCTGCCAGGTTTGCACACAACAGAAGGAACATGTGGTTATTGTGTATGCAAAGAAATGTCAAATGTGGGGGGGTGAGAGGTATGGTACAGAAAATGAGTAGTTTCATCTTGTATCGATACAAAAAAAAGTGCATCGTGTATCATATCATCGCATGAAAACTCATGATGCACGTGTGTGCCTATGTATGCTTTCACCACGAGGTGTTCGGAAACCTGTACTTGTTTGAAACATCAATATTTGTATTAGATATGTATGCGCTCATTTGTAGAAAGATTTAAGAAATTGTTGTGTTTTTTTGTCATTTTAATGACAGTACATTGATGTCTAACGATTCAGCAAGTGTGTGTTTAGTCACAAACAAATTATGAATCACTCCTCCTGTTTCAATCCTAGTACCTGGTGCCACTGAACCTGGTGCCACCGTACCTCGTTCCACTGTACCTCGTTCCACCATACCTTGTGCGACCATACCTAGCTGAACTGATCCTGTTCCTCACTCTCACTCTAGTTCCATATCGGGCGCTTCGTGAACTAAATCGTCCCCCTCTGGCTGCATCGGCATTGTCAACTGAAGAGGAAGATGACACATATGAAAACATCAGCAATGTCAACTGATGACACGTATGACACATATGAAAACATCGGCAATGTCAACTGATGACACGTATGACACATATGAAAACATCAGCAATGTCAACTGATGACACGTATGACACATATGAAAACATCAGCAATGTCAACTGATGACACGTATGACACATATGAAAACATCAGCAATGTCAACTGATGACACGTATGACACATATGAAAACATCAGCAATGTCAACTGATGACACGTATGACACATATGAAAACATCGGCAATGTCAACTGATGACACGTATGACACATATGAAAACATCAGCAATGTCAACTGATGACACGTATGACACATATGAAAACATCAGCAATGTCAACTGATGACACGTATGACACATATGAAAACATCAGCAATGTCAACTGATGACACGTATGACACATATGAAAACATCAGCAATGTCAACTGATGACACGTATGACACGTATGATAACATAGGCATTCTCAACTGAAGAGGAAGATGACACATATGAAAACATCGGCAATGTCAACTGATGACACGTATGACACGTATGATAACATCAGCATTCTCAACTGAAGAGGAAGATGACACATATGAAAACATCGGCAATGTCAACTGATGACACGTACCGTATTTTCTTGAGTATAGTGCGCACTTTTTTTCGAAAAAACACAGCTGTGTAGAAGGGGGTGCGCATTATACACGAATTATGAGTTTGGATGTTTTTTTCCCCCATGGAAAGATATTACCGTGAGCACGAAACACCGGAAATACCATGTCAACAAATCCATACTGAAGTACGCAAAATAATCATGTAATTACACTGTCTGGCTATAAAAAGTGTTCTTTGTATATCTGGACTTATGTTTGTAACTTATTTCATTAATTTTATTCAAAATTCCTTATAATATTGTTTTTATTAATTTCGGCGAAATCGTGTGTGAAGCGATCAGAAGATCGCACAAATCACAGTTATTAACAGCAACCACCGTCAGAATACCGCTATTGCCGCCTTGAAACGAACTTTAGTTGACAGAGAATGGATACATATATCATAAATGACATACTTTGACTCGTTAAAAGTCATATTTGTTTTTGTTTGACGATTCTATGTCAACATGAAATTCTTGAGATCACGCGATCACGTGCGCGTGAGCCTTGAGGGTGACTGGTCAGACTGGTTCCATGTAAAAAATAATACCCGGGAATAGCGATCAGCTGCTTCGCTTAGGGTTATTATTATTTTAAATATGTTTAGTAAAGGCTGCATATAATTAAGAAAATAATGGAATATATTATTCCTGATAAAAAAAAATAGTTTCAGATACAATTGTTGCCGATCCTTGCACTTAAAATCCTAAACTTATATCATTGGGTGTGTCTTGACCGAATCACCGGTCGATTCCAAGAAAACGTGTGTACAGCTGATTGCTGTTTCCGACTTAGTTTACGAGAAAATACACAAGGTAATCTTAATCCCTAGATATAAAACAATGCCTAGCAGAACAATAAATACTATTTAAACGGTAAATAAACATGTCTGGTGATTTTTTATCTCAAATTTCGAATTTGTACTGACAAAGTTTCTCAGCACCCGTTCGTTTGCCGGACTTTGCTGAGAGGGTACGGTGTAATTTTTTTCTGCGCATAATATTGAAATTTCTTTTTTTCCAAAACATTGAACCCACTAGTGGGGGGTGCGCATTATACGTGGGTGCACACTATACTCAAGAAAATACGGTATGACACGTATGATAACATCGGCATTGTCAACTGAAGAGAAAGATGACACATATGAAAACATTGGCAATGTCAACTGATGACACGTATGACACGTATGACATGTATGACACGTATGATAACATCGGCATTCCACCCACCATCAACAGCTACAGCACATATAACCCACCATCAACAGCTACAGCACATATAACCCACCATCAACAGCTACAGCACATATAACCCACCATCAACAGCTACAGCACATATAACCCACCATCAACAGCTACAGCACATATAACCCACCATCAACAGCTACATCACATATAACCCACCATCAACAGCTACAGCACATATAACCCACCATCAACAGCTACATCACATATAACCCACCATCAACAGCTACAGCACATATAACCCACCATCAACAGCTACATCACATATAACCCACCATCAACAGCTACAGCACATATAACCCACCATCAACAGCTACAGCACATATAACCCACCATCAACAGCTACAGCACATATAACCCACCATCAACAGCTACATCACATAACCCACCATCAACAGCTACAGCACATATAACCCACCATCAACAGCTACAGCACATATAACCCACCATCAACAGCTACAGCACATATAACCCACCATCATCAGCTACAGCACATATAACCCACCATCAACAGCTACAGCACATATAACCCACCATCAACAGCTACAGCACATATAACCCACCATCAACAGCTACATCACATAACCCACCATCAACAGCTACTGCACATATAACCCACCATCAACAGCTACATCACATATAACCCACCATCATCAGCTACAGCATACATAACCCACCATCAACAGCTACAGCACATATAACCCACCATCAACAGCTACAGCACATATAACCCACCATCAACAGCTACAGCACATATAACCCACCATCAACAGCTACATCACATATAACCCACCATCAACAGCTACAGCACATATAACCCACCATCAACAGCTACATTAACCCACCATCAACAGCTACAGCACATATAACCCACCATCAACAGCTACAGCACATATAACCCATCATCAACAGCTACAGCACATATAACCCACCATCAACAGCTACAGCATACATAACCCACCATCAACAGCTACATCACATAACCCACCATCAACAGCTACATCACATATAACCCACCATCAACAGCTACATCACATATAACTCAGCATCAACAGCTAATCACATATAACCCACCATCAGCGCTTGTCTGTCAAGAAAGTATAACTGTCTATAATTATATCTGATTGCTTTGTCTATATATTTGTATATGTCTGTGTATACACATAGTGTATGGAGGCCTGAGTATTTTTCCCAGGGGAACAATAATTATCCCCTTCTAGCCCACCGAGTGGACTCTGCTTTGGCCATGTGGTTGTGTAGGCGTGTGTCGTATGTCACCGAGTGGCACTTCTAATGTAAATTTAATGGAGTAAAGAAATAATAAAAATTCTACAGGAAATTTTCCTTATGATATCTGAAAAAAATATTCACATAAATGTTTCAATAGCTACAAAATATCTACATTACAGTCAGGCAAACACTTTGTGTATGTTGTTTCTGCGACCATAGTAAATCTGCATTAGAATTCTTGTATTCATTGAATTAATTTAACTTCTGTTTCATTATTTCCCATTCTTCATTTTTTCATAATTTATCTTGTAAATATACTGAATATTAACGAGGGACAAGACCCGGGTTCAACTGCCCACATAGATACAATGTGTGAAGCCCATTTCTGGTGTCCCCCGCCGTAATATTGCTGGAATATTGCTAAAGATGGCGTAACACCATACTCACTCACTCACTTTAAGGTACCCATAGTCTTGTTTTCTCCTCTGTACCACCTGTTTATGTTAAATTGCTGAAAATCATCACTCAGGCCACTTACAAAATGCCAAAATATTTCAGTCATTTTACAATTATTTTTCCATTTATTATATAATGATAATGAATTCATGACATATTTATTCTCAATTTCATCACCCTGTGCCTAAAAATGATAGAATTTAAATAAGAATAAAGTCAAGGTATAATCGTTTAAATATTTCGCTTCCAATCCCAGCCTAGTTAGCCCATTGTGATGTATTAGCCCTTTTGAACTTCTTAATAACTTTACATCAATGTGACAGATAAATAATTGTTAAATGACTGAAATATTTTGGCATTTTGTAAATGGCCTGAGTGAAAATTTGAGTCATTTTACACATTAACTGTAACTGGTAACATATGTATGTGCTACGGTGCAGTAGAAAATCAGACCTTGTTTATATATCCTTATTAATTTTAAGCATTTTCTTTGAATAACCATGTGTTTTGTCTCTTTACCAACACTTCCGTCATTTAGCATTATACTTCATACCGAAAGTCTTGTGGTGACAGCAGTGATGGCCCCAGATAACATTCGTCTGTTTGTTGTTTAATGCCACACTCAGCAATATTCCAGCTACATAATGGCAGTCTGTAAGTAATCCAAACTAGACCAGACAATCCAGTGATTGATATCATGAGCATCGATCCACCCTAAAGGGATACGGTGGCATCAACCAAGTCAGACCAAGTCAACCAACATGACAACATGATCCTGTTAGTCACTGCTTAGGTGACAAGCATAGTCGCCTTTACACGTGTGGGTTGCTGAAGACCTATTCTAACCAGATAACCACCTGTCTACATTTCCCACAGTGATCGGTTTACAGTCCTCAGCTACACCCTTCCCCCCTTACAAATTTCACAGATGGACTAGTCTGTGGATGGACTAGTTTTCAATGTTTTGAGAAATTTCTAGAGAATTTCTTTTCAAAATATCTATTCATGATCGTTATTTGCAAATTGTATTTATAGGCTGTTTTACTCTCTGAAATTTCTGGAGAGAAAACTGAACATAGATATACCATTAAACTGTTAATATTTTCAAAAGTGCAGTCCAAGTGCTGTACCATTTCAATGGCTTGAAATCACTGTCACTGTGTTCTTTGGGAGAGGTCTACTATTTATAGGGGATGTCAGCCTTTATGTTCATTAGCATTATCACATAATGCACTCGTCAAATACGCGGACACTACTTGACATGTTTATCCCCTTCTATTCAGTCAAGCTTATTCAAATTCTATTGAGGAGTCAAACAAATATACCGACAATACTCTACAGGTTTTTAAAACGCAAACAACCTTAAACATGTAAGATAATAAAGTTTCA